GCTTGGGTTAAAAAGTTTGATTTGGGAATGATTTTTTGACTTTTTGATTTTTTTGACTTTTTTTGTGAGAGAAGAGTGTAATGATTATAGGTTGGATGTGATGTTTTGTTTTTTGTGACTAAAAATTAATTAATAAAATGTCCACACCAAAGGAGCCATATGTTAAAATTTGATCTTTTTCTGATAAGAACACGCATTAAAAAGTCATTGAAATGTCACCAACGGTGGTCGACAACAGCAGTTGGTGGAGGTGTGATGAGGGTAGAAGATATTGGACAAGTATAAGCATACTTGTACAAATATGTGACATTTGAATATATAGCCCAATATGTAAGTTTTGGACAAATAAGTATCTTTTTTAATAAATCAATGTCTTTTTAGTTAAAAAATATTTAAACTTGGACAAATGGATCCAAAAATTTCAAAAATAAACCTCTAACATGCGTCATTCCCCTTTTTCACCCAGGCGGTGCTGTTGGAAGAGAACCGCTAGAGATGGAAGTTTTTGGCGAAAAGAGCAGAGATCGGAGATGAGCATGGGCATGGGCATGGCCGTGGTGGTGAGAATGGGGACGATCTGGAAGATCAAGACTGCTGCTTTAGAGAGAGAACATTTTAGAGAGAGCAAGAGACGCAGAGATGAGAGAGAGAGAGAGAGGAAAAGAGGTAAATTTAGCAGAGGAAGAGAGTTAAGAATGAGAAAAAAAAAAATGAAGTTTGATTTGAAAAATTTCTCTATGATAGATGAGTGTTGAGGTTAAGGGACCGTAGACATCATAAAATAATATTGTGGATCTCTTCCATTATTAAATATGAAAGAGAGACTTTAGACTAATTTTCTCTTTTATTTATGTCTTTTATGCTGTAAGCATTCAAACATTTTGTATAGCATTTTTTTGTTACAAATACGAATGCTATATTTATTTTGTGTTAAATTATTTTTTATAATTTTTCATATTATTTTAATTTAATCTAATTAATAATATTAAAAAAATCAAATTTTAAAAAAAAATTAATTAATAAAATGTCCACACCAAAGGAGCCATATGTTATTTAGTCTAAAATTTGATCTTTTTCTGATAAGAACACGCATTAAAAAGTCATTGAAATGTCACCAACGGTGGTCGACAACAGCAGTTGGTGGAGGTGTGATGGGGATAGAAGATATTGGACAAGTATAAGCATACTTGTACAAATATGTGACATTTGAATAGATAGACCAATATGTAAGTTTTGGACAAATAAGTATCTTTTTTAATAAATCAATGTCTTTTTAGTTAAAAAATATTTAAACTTGGACAAATGGATCCAAAAATTTCAAAAATAAACCTCTAACATGCGTCATTCCCCTTTTTCACCCAGGCGGTGCTGTTGGAAGAGAACCGCTAGAGATGGAAGTTTTTGGCGAAAAGAGCAGAGATCGGAGATGAGCATGGGCATGGGCATGGCCGTGGTGGTGAGAATGGGGACGATCTGGAAGATCAAGACTGCTGCTTTAGAGAGAGAACATTTTAGAGAGAGCAAGAGACGCAGAGATGAGAGAGAGAGAGAGAGGAAAAGAGGTAAATTTAGCAGAGGAAGAGAGTTTAGAATGAGAGAAAAAAAAATGAAGTTTGATTTGAAAAATTTCTCTGTGATAGATGAGTGTTGAGGTTAAGGGACCGTAGACATCATAAAATAATATTGTGGATCTCTTCCATTATTAAATATGAAAGAGAGACTTTAGACTAATTTTCTCTTTTATTTATGTCTTTTATGCTGTAAGCATTCAAACATTTTGTATAGCATTTTTTTGTTACAAATACGAATGCTATATTTATTTTGTGTTAAATTATTTTTTATAATTTTTCATAATATTTTAATTTAATTCAATTAATAATATTAAAAAAATCAGATTTAAAAAAAGAATTAATTAATAAATGTCTACACTAAAGGAGCCATATGCTTTTAGTCTAAAATTTGATCTTTTTGTGATAAGAACACGCATCAAAAAGTCATCGAAATGTCACCAACGGCGGTCGACAATAGCAGTTAGTGGAGGTGTGACGGACAGATAGGAGACATTGGACAGATAGGTGATGTATGTATAAATAGGAGATAATTTGACAAATAAGCGACACTTGTACAAATATGTGACATTTGAATATATAGCCCAATATGTAAGTTTTGGACAAATAAGTATCTTTTTTGACAAATCAATGTCTTTTTAGTTAAAAAATATTTAAACTTGGACATATGGGTCCAAAAATCTCAAAAATAAACCTCTAACATGCGTCCTTCCCATCTTTCACCCAGGCGGTGCTGTCAGAAGAGAACCATTGGAGATGGAAGTTTTCGGCAAAAAGAGCAGAGATCGGAGACGAGCATGGGCATGGTCGTGGTGGTAGAAATGGGGACGATCTGAAAGATCAAGACTGTTGCTTTAGAGAGAGAACATTTTAGAGAGAGAAAGAGACGCAGAGATGAGAGAGAAAGGAGAATAGGTGAATTTAGTAGAGGAAGAGAGTTTAGAGTGAGAGAGAGAAAAAAAAATGAGGTTTGATTTGAGAAATTTCTCTGTGATATATGAATGTAGGGGTTGAGGGAGCTTAGACATCATAAAATAATATTGTGGATCTCTTCCATTATTAAATATGAAAGAGAAACTTTAGACTAATTTTCTCTTTTATTTATGTCTTTTATGCTGTAAACATTCAAACATTTTGTATAGCATTTTTTTGTTACAAATACGAATTCTATATTTATTTTGTGTTAAATTATTTTTTTATAATTTTTCAAATTATTTTAATTTAATTCAATTGATAATATTATAAAAATAAGATTTACAAAAAAAGAATTAATTAATAAAATGTCCACACCAAAGGAGCCGTATGTTATTTAGTCCAAAATTAATCTTTTTTGGGATAAGAATACACATTGAAAAGTCATTAGAATGTCGCCAACAGTGGTTGACAACAGCGACTAGTAAAGGTGTGATCAGAAGATAGGAGACATTGGACAGATAGGTGATATGTGTATAAATAAGAGATAATTTGACAAATAGGCGATACGTATATAAATAAGCGACATTTAAATAGATAAACCAATATGTAAGTTTTGGACAAATAAGTATCTTTTTTTGACAAATCAATGTCTTTTTAGTTAAAAAAATATTTAAACTTGGACATATGGGTCCAAAAATTTCAAAAATAAACCTCTAACATGAATGCCTTTAAAATAAGAACCAAAATGATCAATTCAAAAGAAAATAGACACTTCTAAATTGAGTAATTATATTTGCACACTCCACATTATTTCACTTCACTTCACATCACACTAAATTTAAACATCAATCACAAACTCTTAAAATAATAAGTTGAGAGGAGCAAACAAGGTGTAGTATATAATATTACCACATGATACCCTCGCAGTATGTAATAATTATTTCCGCAATGGGGGGAACAAATCCATTCATCAGGGAAGAGGAGGGTGGCCCAATGACCACTGAGATCCAACCATTTATGGATGGTGAAAGCTTCCAAACAGTTTGATCATGATTCAGGCCGTAGGGGTACGGTAGAGAAGGACTTGTGCTTGGCACTATTATATATCCACTGCTAGCAAATAAGTTATATAAATGTAATCAAGCAAGTTGCTATTACACTCATTCAACAAATGTTCTTACATATCTAAACCAACATCTCAAATGCCCAGCTTCTTTCTATAACTATTGGAAATCCTTTTGGTACACACCATTTTTCTTGTACATCATATATGTATTTTTATAACAAATGTTATGTAATCTTGTTGCACAGTTCTGACAATTTTGTGATCCAAAATTAAAATTACGCATTTTATGATAATATTATGATTTTTAATAGTGATCTTACACATTGTTTCATTGAGATTTTTTTAAACTACAAAATGTGTAATATTAACACAAAAATACATAATATATATTATAAAAATGTATAACAAAGTGCTTGTGGTACCAAAAGAGTCCCCATATGTAAGATAATATAATAATGACAAAATCAATACAACACAAGCCCCAAAAGAGCGTTGTGCACCATTCACATCTAACTACTTGGTTACTTTCCTAGAGAATGAGAGAAAAAGCATTTGAATTACAACACAAAATTGTTTCGTGCAGCTTCATGTATGCTAAAATTAATAATCAGAAAATAAAAATTAGAAATACATCCTTACCGACTTCTAAATAATTAACTTCTTTTTTTATTATTATATCTTATTTAAGCTATTTCTATCTCATTTTTTATCTCATACGTTGGAAACCAAAATTACACTAAATATTCTAATAACAGATTTTCAATATATATATATATATAAATTATAAATCTCCTCATAAGCTGCAACAAGCTAGATAATATTGTCGGTCACCTAATTTCTGCCCAATATGGTACTTTAATATGATCACATTGATGTGGAGTCACAACCATTGTTATCATACTTGCGATCCAAATCACAGAAGAATCTTAAATTCAAATCTTAAAATAATTATAATCATAGTTATAAAATCACGTTACGATTCTAATCTTATCAAAAAAATAATTAATATTATTTTTATTTTTATTTATATATGTATAGATACATAAAAAATTTGACTATAAACTCTTTCTCCAAACATCTCTAATTTATATTAACATAAAAAATGCATTATATTAAATTTATCATTTTTCTTTAATGATTTTAAAATTATTTAATATACATTATCATTAAGTATAATTTCTCATTTTCTTTACGTTGAAATTATAATACTATGATCCTCGATTCGATTCTACAGTCTAATCCAAAAATCCCTCGCAACAATCCTAACACTAATAATCCTATTTAGAATCCCAATTATAACAATTTAGTTACAACACAATGCTATAACTACATCAAATTGAATCATAACTTTTGAGGGTGCGCATAGACCGACTTCACAATAATTCAGTCTATTTAAATTTGAGAAAGAGATGACAAAACGACAAAAACACACACACACATATATATATATATAACAAAAATTAAAAATGAACATCATATACATTACCTTTGCAATAATAAGAAGTATACAACATTTTGAGAGCACAATTTTTTGTTTCACCAGGGCTAAAAAAAAATTATGGAAGTGGGGTTGGAGGATCCTCTCATCCTCCTAAAAATCACTCCAGGTCAAGGCCAAGGGGTACATTAAATTTCAATCCATTCACTAATTCTGGTGAGATACCTTCCTTCAAGAAGAAACTTCCCAGGCAATCTCAGAACTAATAAAGCCTATGCAAGAGATTTAAATAAATAAATAAAAATTGGGGGGAAAACAGCACTTTAAGGGGAAGATACATACTTTGTATCAATACTTTGTTCGACACGTTGCAGGATTTTAGAACAATTGGAAGAGCAAAGTTGTTGATCCATCCCCGAATGATCGCAGATCAGCAGGTCTAACCAAGGCCCTGCACAAAGGGCATGTCCTTTCTCTCTCAAACCTGGAAACAATATACTGCATGTTAGTCACAGTGGGAAGCTAATAGAGCTTGGAATAAGTCAGACCCAGTAGAAACCCATGCAAATGTACGAGACATTCGTTTGAAAACGAAAACAAAAACAAAACAAAGCAAAAATTTACCTGAGAGAAGCTCTCTTATATATGCTATGTTTTCAAAATTTTAACATTAACGCTCCATTTGTTTTGGTGGAAAATATCTTTTGAAAAATGATTACTGAATGTGCTACACACATGCGTATAGTCTAAGATGATACCACCACCTCCATCACTATGGCACCACCACTCCACCGAGATAGCTGCCACTGCCACCATCATGTACCACTACCACTAGGACAAGATAATGGGTTGATGATCATGTGGCTGCAGTTTAAGGTTGAATGGAGAAAGTAAATAGTGGAAATGTAGCATGATAACCCCACTCGTGGAAAGTAGATCTCATACTCTCGCTTTTTAGTAAATATGTTAGTTATTTGTTCTACATCCTGAATTATATGTGAATGCGCAGGTATATATATACATATACACATGTATCTAAGATGATGCTATCACTATGAAGTGAAGTCTCACATCACCTGCGTACCAAAGTAATAGTAAGCATATAAGCTTTAAGGCACCCTCACCTCTTGAGCTAGCTTTTAGGGTTGAGTTCTACCCAAGATATGTAACATGGTATTAGGGCTGGATCACCACCATCACCACTAGGACAGAGTAATGGGTTGATCATCATGAGAGCGCAATTTAGAGTTGAATGAGGAAAAGTGAAAAGTGGGAATCTTGCATTATAGTCACTCGTGTTTTGTTAGATCTCAAACTCTCTTTTTCAGTTAATGGGTAAGCTACATGTATTGGGTCCCAAATTATGTGTATGTGAGAGTATATATATATGCACATGTGTATCTACAGTCTAAGATGGATACCATCACCACCGCCAGGGAACCACCACCGCCATCGAACCACCAACACCATCCTCCTACCACCACCACCAGGACAGAGTAATGGGTTTATGATCATGTGGGTGCAATATAGGGCTAAATGAGGAAAAGTGAATGGTGAGACTGTTGCATGATAGTCGCTCGTAGTTTGTCGAATCTTTGATTCTCTTTTTTAGTTAATATTTTAGTTACGTGTTCTATGTATAATTATATGTGAATGAGTGGATACACACACGTACATTTAGGCCTAGTTTGGCATAATCTAAAAAAGTCAAAAAGCCAAAAAGTTACTATCATGTTTAAGTCACATCATCTTATTTAAGTCACATCACCTCTCTACCACATCACTTCAAAGCCAACTCATATTTCACGTTTCTTCATAAAAAGCAAAAAATGAACTTATTTAGATCATCCCAAACAACCCCTTAATTTACAGTGATTCCCAATACCACCACCACCCACCAACACCAACACCAACACCAACACCAACACCAACACCAACATTGCCTCCACTTGGGCAGAGTAATGGATTGAAAGCAAAGAAGCTTTTTTCTTTGAATGATATGGTTAAGCAAGGACACTTGTGGATCCATGACCTGAGAGAAGCAACGAATATTGCTAAATTGAGACCCTGGCCCCGTTTGTTTTAGGCTATAGGGAGGGTATTGGGACTAGTAATACCAAGGTATTACTAATACCCTTGTTTGTTTGCAGAGATAGTCTTGGGACTATTAGTCCCTTGATATTACTAATACCCTTGGAAGGGGAATTGGTAAGGAGGAGATAGAGATGGTATTAGAAAATAGTGAGGGGATTAAAAAAAAATTTATTTTTTATATATTGGAAATTTTTTTTTAAATATAATGTTTAATTTTTTATATTTTGTTATTTTTTTATTATTTTATATAAAAATAATTTAACAATTCCTCATTATTAATCCCCTCACTATCAATCCCCTCACTATTAATCCCCCTCACTATCAATTCCCTCACTAACAATCCCCTCACTATCAATCTCATCCATTCTATCTCCCAAAACAAACGGGACCTGAGATTCAGGTCAAGGAGGTCAAATAGACGAAAAGTTCTTTCTCTCGTATGAAAAACAAATCCTATGGGCTAGCCCATGCACCCATTGCACGAGTGGAAAGTGGTCGTATTAGGGCCACTCATGGAAATGTAGCGTCATAATCACTCATGGCTTCTTTGATTCTCTTTTTTGATTAATGGGTAAGTCATTGTTCTACATCCCGAATTGTGTGTACATGCGGGTATAGACACACACATATATACCATCAACATCACCATCACCATTTCCAATCGCCACTACTGCTGCTGCTGCCAATGGGATAGATTAATGGGTTGTTGATGATGATGAGGGTGTAGTTTAGGGTTGAATGAAGAAAAGTAAATAGTGGGAATGTTGGGTGATAGTCGCTTGTGGTTTCTAAGATCTCTGACTTCTCTTTTTTTATTAGTAGGTTAGTTACGTGTTCTACATCCTGAATTATATATGAATATGCAGTATATATAGTCTAAGATGATACCATCACCAACACTGCCACCAACAGCATCCTACCACCACCAGGACAGAGCACTAGGTTGATGATCATGAGGATACAATGTTGGGTTGAATGAGAAAAAGTCAATAGTGGAAATGTTGCGTGATAGTCGCTTGGGGTTTGTTAAATCTCTTACTCTCTTTGGTTAATGGTTAAGTTATGTGTATGCGCAGGTATATAGACATGTATAAGTCTAATATAATACCATCACCACCACTATCTCCACCTCTGAAGCACTGGCATGTCCCTAGGGCCTGCATACGAGTGTTGGACACGGACATGCGTCAGACATGTTGTGAACACGTGTCCGACACTCTCTTCAACATGTCCCTCTTTTTTTTTTGAGTTTTTCCGATTAGACACGCCATGGACACGCCGTGACACTTTCCGGACACGCACAAGGTGGATCGAAGAAGCCCTAAGTGTTGGGGAGAGAGAGAGAGAGAAATAAGCCCTAACCTGTTCAGATCAATCGAAGAAGCCCTGAGGTATTCTTCTTCGTCTTCTCTCTTCTTCTTCTCTTCATCTTCTTCTCTTCATTTTCTTCTTCTCCTCCCTTTTTTGTTTCGCCCTTTCATCTTCTCTGATTCTCTCTCTTTTCTGATTTCACTCTCTCCCCTCTTTCGTTTCTTTTTTTTTATTTTTTTGTTAGAATTTACCTACACCTACCACCACCTACTACCACACCTACTACACCTACCACCAATTTACCCTCACCTACTCCTCACCTACTACCCAAATCCTCTTCTATATAATAGGAATCCTTGTAATATCAAAATCACACAATATCAATATATCAATCAATAATACATAAATTGTTACATGGTATCAGAGCAAGGTTAAGAACCTATTCATTCTGCTTCACCGGCGGGCGGCAGCCTCGCCTTGGCCGCCCGCCAGACCTCTACACATAACCCCCTGTGTTCGTCCCCTGTGCTCGTCTTTGCAACACTCTCTCTCTCTCTCCTAATTTGTGAAGGTAGTTCTCTCACAGATTGGTTTCCCCTCTCTCTCTCTCGCATTATTTATGTCCCATTTGATTTGGAACTATGAAGCTAGTTACCAACATCAACCCCAAAAGACTCTTCAGGTCAAAGAAGAACCGGTCAGTCTCACGATCCGACCCGTTATCGTTCAGCTCCGGTTCCTCCTCCTCCGAGTCCTCAACCTCCGGGCCGCTCCACCACCGCAAATCCGAACCCGAAAAAGGAGACTCCGACTAGCGTTTTTGCCTTCGAAATCATCGGAGATCTCATGCGATTGGTCCGAAATCTGCTTCGAGTTCGTTCCAACCGTCAAGATGATCGATAAAGACGCTGATGGAAAGATCACGAGCAAGGAGCTCGAGGCTTTGCTCAGCCGAGTCGGCCTAGTCGGCGCCGAGCCACCGACCGAGGAGGAACTGAAGTTGATGCTCAGCGATGTTGATAAGGACGGCGATGGATGTATCAGCTTGGAGGAGGATTACGGCCTTGTTTGGTTTCAGAAGCCTTCCTTCGAGCTCTCTCTCTCTCAGAGGATCTCTCTCTCATTTCTTTTTGATTGGTGAAATCAATCCTCATAAACACATACACCCATCACCCACAGAAAAGAACAGCTACCCAATGCACTTTAATCTCTCTCTCAGGCACACCCAACGCACATATATGTTTATTATAACATTTTGTCATCATAACCCACACCACACAACCCCTTTCTTTTCTTTTCTTTATTCTCCACTCACAAAACATTATCATCATCTTTTGCACCTCACCCGTTGCTCCACATTCTTTCTTTTCTTTTATTTTTTTTATTTATTTATTTATTTTATTAAAATAAAAAAATAAAAAAAATAAAAAAACCAAACAAACAAACAAAGAGGAAGAAGACGAACTGCAAACTCATTTTATTCATATCGGGCCTCACCCCGATCACCATTTTACACAAAAAAAAACAAAAAAACAAAAAAAACAAAAAAAACCACAAACAAAACAACCACAGCAGATGTCCCACAAAACCAGATGCCTAAAAAATATTCTACTCATTTGGAGGTTGCCATGAAGGCTTCTGAATCGCAAGTTGATGATGGTAAGAAGAGTGGAGGACCTAGTGTCGATGCGTTAAATAAAGTGGAAGCTACTGCTCGAATGTCTAGTCTTGTGAAACAAAGAGAATCGACTCCCAGATTCTGCAGACTCTGACTCAACAACCTTCTTCTCCTTTGGGATCTCCTCTCTCTTGTTCTCGATAGTAACCACCGTTGGCTTAGGTCGAGTCATGGAGATGTCCATCATGCATAAGTCAGTGCAGTCGGGAAGGAATACCTCCGGCTTAGGCAGGTGGGATATAAATGCTAGGATCGTAAGGCACGACCCCAATTTGGATGAAGTTGATCCTTTTATGCGGTGGAGCTTGGTTATGTGTGGGGAAAGGGTTTGTTGTAACATTGGGTTTCTTCTTTGCTCCACCGACCGCATCGGAAAGTTCAACGGAGCAAACTCCGGGGCGCTTGGTTGAGTTTCCAGTGCCACCGCACCAGTTCTCTCTCTCGTTGACTCGTTGACGTCGGGAAAGAGGGTGAGCAGCCCGCGGGAAGACGAAGCCATTTTTCTGGGCTACAAAGTGTTCCACAGTTTCTCTCTCCGAAGAGGCAGAGTTTTTCAGAGAAGGGTTAGTTTCAGAGGTTTCAGAATGGTATGCCTCGGCCTCAGTCTCCGTTAAATAGCCGAGGCAGCCACGCGCATCGCGCGCCTCTTGCCACTAGCCGACAAAACGGGCACGCAAGCCAAGGCGCCCACGTGCCTCGCCATCATGTCCGGCACACCTTTTGATGAATTGGGCACGCCTTTTGATGGCACGCCTTTTGACAAACTTGGGCACACCTTTTGAGGGTGCCACTTTTCCAAGGGTCCGACAAGACTCTATAAACTGTCCCGACATTTGATACCGGTTAGCTTTTTTAAGGGTCCGACAAGACTCTGTAAACTGTCCCGACATAGATTCCGGTTAGTTTCTACAAGGGTCCAGCAAGACTCCGTAAACTGTCACAACATTGTCTTCTACAACGGTCCGACATGACCCAATAAATTTACAACTTCATCACTGGACCATTATTTGACACTAAACAATAGCATTAGCAGTTCAACATTATTGCCTCATCATTCTAATTAAAAAAGAAAAATAAACAAAGGTAAATTTACTAAAGAGAAACCACAACACTGCATTTGGGCTAGCTAACAACAGCAATTTATTATAAATTAGCTTGCCCATCAAAAATCAAAACATCTGTTGAAGTATCACCAGCAATTTTTTGATAAGCTAAAGGCGACATTATATAAAAAAAGCCACTACATAATTTCTTTGGTCACTCCACATATAGAAGTGAGAAATGCAAAGAGAAAAAATGGATTATTATAGATAATCAGTGCTTATAAAACGCCACAGATAATTAATTATGTCAGTAATTTTGAGAAATCTCCAACAGAGGTATTCTTGTTTTGACTAAGCTTCTCACCATGAAATGGATTTCATGTATGTTCCTCTCTCCAAACTCAAGTTGGTTAGTTTCTATCCTCCTTGAGTTTGCGGGGGGCTGTTAGAATTTACCTACACCTACCACCACCTACTACCACACCTACTACACCTACCACCAATTTACCCTCACCTACTCCTCACCTACTACCCAAATCCTCTTCTATATAATAGGAATCCTTGTAATATCAAAATCACACAATATCAATATATCAATCAATAATACATAAATTGTTACATTTTTTCTGTTCTCCCTTTTTCTAATTTCACCCACTTCTCTCTCTTTTTATTTTTTATTTTTTTTTTCTGTTTCTTTCTCCTCCTTTATTTTCCTGATTTCTCCCCTCCCATTTTTTTCTTTTTTCTTTTTTTTTTATCCTTATTTTTGTTAAACCTAATATTCATACAATAAATTATTTTATTTAAAAAAACTCATTTTTTATTTAAAAAATTTAAGAAATGTGTTTATTAATTTTATTATTATTGTAATTGTATAAGAATCAATGATTTTTTAAAAAATTTTAGACCTATAATAAATAAATTAAATTATATATATATAAAAATGTGTCCCCAGCGTGTCGTGTCCCCCATTTTTTGAAAATTTGCGTGTCCGTATCCACGCATCATAGATCTCCACCACCCTACCCTATTGCAGCCACCACCACTTGATCACTAACACTACTGCTACTGCTACCACCAATCTACCACTAAACCGGCGCCACCACTGGAACAGAGTAATGGGTTGATGATGATGAGGGTGCAATTTAGGGTTGAATGAGGAAAAATGAATAGTGGTAAATTGATAATGTGGCATGATAGTCGCTCATGGTTTGTTAGATCTCTGACTTTTTTTGGTAATTAGGTTAGTTACGTGTTCTATGTCTTCAATTATATGTGAATGTACGAGTATAAATATGTACATAGACACGCAGATAGAATTTAAGACGATGCCATCACCATTACCATCACCAACACTGACTAATGGGTTGATGTAATTTAGGTTGAGTGAGAAAAGGTCAATAGCGGGAATGTTGAGCGATAGTTGCTCGTAATTTGGTAGGCCTCTAACTCACTTTCTTGATTAATGGGTAAGTTATGTGTTCTATGTCCCGAATTATGTGTGCAAGCGAGTATCTATACACACACGTCTATATAGTCCAAGAGAATACCATCACCATCACCATCACCATCACCATCACAAGTTGACCACTAACACTGCCATCACCGCCACCACAATTGCAGCCACATTACCAAGACAGGGTAATGAGCTGATGATCATGAGTGCAATTTAGGGTTGAATGAGGAAAAGTGAAATGTGTGATGGTCGCTCATGGTTTGTTAGATATCTGACTCTCTTTTTTGGTTAATAAGTAACTTATGTGTTCTATGTCCTAAATGCAAGTGCATATGCAGGTAAATACACATACATATTGTCTACGATGACCATAGCCGAAGTTCCAATTACAAAAATTAAAGGAAAATAAGAATGCGATTTTGGGTTCCCATGATTCTAGCATTGAATGACATTGAAATACGAATCAGATTCCTGATTTCTCAATCCATCCAGAATTAGTTTCCTAAATTGAGGGGGAAACTGATTCCGCCACTCTACCACAGTAATCTTAAATTCTTGCTTAATTCAGGAATTAAAAAGGCTAATATTTTTATTTGCTATTATATACCCCCTTTCTTTTTTTTAAAGATATTCTTGAATTATCCATATACTTGGATGAGATTGTCTAGATTATAGATATTGTTTTACTAGGAATGAAATTCCGAAATATTACTAACAAAATATCTTCTGAACAATGTTGGCAGAAAACCTTTATCCGTAAAGATTAACAACGGAAAAATTGGCAATTATATTCAATTTGGTAGTAATTTTTAAAACTCTATATTCAACAATATATATTTTTTTGGACAAGCAACTTTATATTCAAAACATTAAGAGCACCCTTAATAAAGTACCAAGTCATATATTTATCTTAGTGGGATTAAGGCCTTGCTAAATCGAGAATAGTAACTTAGAGCATCTCCATCAAAATAGTCAATTTTTACTTAAATTTTAACTAAAAGTTCATTATTCTATCTTAGCTAACCAATTTTTCAAATACATTCTCCAACAAACTCTCTGTTTTTTACTCTGTTCTATTTTTATTTTATTTTTTCCAATTCCAAATTTAATATTTAAGAGAGAATTAAAATAATGAATGATCACATTTGTTTACAATAATGATTTATAAATAAAATATTAGATAAATTACATTCACATCTCTTAAAATTTGAAGAAAATACAATAAATTTCATAAGTTTGCATATTATATTAAACTCCTTTTAAGGTTTTAATTTACGTAACACTTAACCCATTTTTTTCTATAATTTGTTAGTCTTACGGATAAAAGAGTGATTATTGTCATCTTTCTTATATTAAAATCTATATTTTATTTTATTTATCTTTGAGTCTTAGCACTACCTACATTCGTTCCGATCCCTTTACGCTAACAAATAAAGAGGTTAATTTAATTATCTCAAAATGTATTGTTTGTTGAATCCAAACTTCAGGAAAGTCAATGTAATTTATCCGTAAAAAAAATTATATTGAATTTACATACAAAATGATGCGACACTTTATGTTCCGTTCATCTCAATTTAAAATACTTATTATTCTAACTTATATTTTTAAAAATAACACAATTATATCATTCTGATTCAGTTTTTTTTGTATACAAATTTTGTTTATTAATAATTTTTCTTAATTTTTCAAATTGTGTTTTTTATCTCATGTATTACAATTGCATTAGTTTAATGATTTCACCACTCATGTTTACTATTAATATAGTACTAATTGACTAAATGATAGATAAAATATAATATATTAAATATTTTATTACCTAAAATCATTTGTTGAGTCTTCTATCCCTAGTTACATGTAGCTAGTGCTTTTACGTTCAATTAAAATAACTAGTCAAAAATGTTAATACCATACCGGATTAGGTACCTTTTTTCCATTGGTATGGTACCTACCGGTACCATATGTTACTGGATACCGTTTCGGATTTATCGCGAAAATATTATATATGTATTAAAAATATTGCTCAATAAAAAATAATTTAACAATACATATCATGAATCACAAATTTATATGTAAAAGAGGCTTAAAAGCATACTATTGTCTGCTAAATAACACAAATTAAGGTACATCAATGAGAGTATGGAACACAAGTTTCTACCATATATATATATATATATTTTTTTTTTTTTTTTTTTAATCCTTCTACTCTTCCGCAGGTCCAAGGCAGCACCCTTCTCAGAGATCACTAAGATGTCTTGTTATCCATTCCAAGCAAGAGACTATAACTGGAAAACTTGTCCCAACCCCCCAAGAGTCAGGACTCACGTAGTGAGAGAGCATCAAACCCACACCAAATGTTGTGGTAACAACAACTTGAGGTTTAACCTCCTAACCAACTGTGCTATGCCCGAGAGATTGCCCAAGGAGTTTCGAACTTGAGACCTAGGGTCTTAACCCCCAGGCCTTGTACCAAGTGCGCTACTGCCTTGGGTTAAGTTACTACCATTTTAATATTACAAACCATTAAACATAAAATAATAAATAAATTGGCCAATATTGTCCAGTACTTGCCCGGTATTATGTTTTCAAACCAGTATTGTAAGATATTAGCCAATATTGTTCGGTATTGGCCGGTTTTTTAGGCGGAACAAAATTTGACTATGTAGGTACCATTTTGCTTCTGAAATGGTATGTACCAGCCGGTATGGTACAGGATTGATAACATTGGTTTGATGTTCAACTAAAGTAGCTATCCAAGAATTAAGTTTGATGAAGTGTGTTTCTATGATTTTGTGCTATAAAATAACCAAGAGAAGGCTCTAATGAGCTTGATGATGATGCTCTTAGTTTGTTGGAAAATTCCGTCCTTAATTTAAAAAGTAACACTCTATTTGGAATTTGGATTTGATAAAGGAAAAGAAAAGTAATGGGAAAAGAAAGAACAATGGACGAGAGAAGTTCCATACTTTTGTTTGATTAGGTAGAGAAAATGAATAGGTATTTCTCAAAAGATACACATTTTTTTTGTTACCCATAGAAAAATGAAGTACCAAGTAATTTCATTTCCCTTGTCCTTTCTTTTCCCAAAAATCCAAGATCCAAACATAGTTTAAAGAACAAGAATTCATGGACCCTTTGTATCCTACAAAACTGACATCATTGAGAGCAGGAGTGTTATTCAACTAATTTTATTGTACTTGGAAGAAAAATAAATGGCTTTCATACAATCCACATTTTTCAAGTGTTCCATCTTTGCTTGGGTGTAACCAAACCATCATTAAATTGTGGCGAATACCCCTTTATGCCCTCTAACTAGCATTCTGCATCCTCATATATTTTTCCTAAGAACTGTAATTACTTAGTTATTCAAATGTTCAAAACTATCCAGACAGGCTACGAGATATGCAGATATATTCAAGCCCTAACCATTACGCAAAAAACTATCAAATTCATTATAGAAAGTTACGAAAGTTAGATAACAAAGCAGCAAAATCAGAAACTGACCATTCTGAAACGCAGTCTTCACAGAAAATGTGTTTACAGCGCAGTAGAATTGGAGAATGCATCTTTTCCTGGCAAATCGCACACAAGTCTCCTGCTGCATTTACCTGGCATCAAATTACTAGCAGCTTTAATCACAGGAATAATTTGCTCTGTCACATAAAAAAGAACGTGTGTGTCTCTTTCTGCCAACAACTCCACAAATGCATATGTTATTTGGAGATTTAAACACAACATTACAACTGGCACTCATAGCAATGCTACCAATGCAGACAAAACCTGATGAAGTATTCAATCCAATGCCAAAAGACCATGCGAAAACTTTTGACCTAATCCTTCCCCCTATGCACTTAGTATTCTCAGAACTACCTAAAATAAAAACAAGAAAACCTTGACAGCTAGTGTATCCTCCCAATTTGTCCATCCCTTCTTCAAGTCCATCAACCTCCTAGTAACTCCAATTTTGAACTTATAGTTTACGCATTAAGTAAACGCACATTGGTAAAACAAAACAACGTCATAAACAAGATGCGGGGGTTTATTAAGCCTCATTGTAAATTCTATTTTTTGGTATATCTAATTCACTTGCCTACCCAAAAAAAAAAAAAACGGATGCAGAAAATATATTCCACCTCACTGCAGTTACGTGTTATTTGTGATAAAGCACTGTGATTCTAGTTTTCATGCACACTTGGCACGTGTATGTGTGGGCGAAAACTGTCATTTGTATGCCAACTTCATAGCATGTATTGGTAAAAAAAACATCAGTAATGTTGTACTCCGGGTTAACAAGCAATGCAGTAGAGAATCTGCAAGTAGCTTTAAGATTAATTGAACTCATAATGATGCCACAGCATATGCCTGCCAGCTTCCAAATTGAAGTCCTAAGCAATTGTAAAAAGTTTGAAAAACCGACATACCTGTTCTGATGTAGCATAAGACCCATAATGGATTTCCTTTCTTGATAATGCCTTCAAGGCAGTAAAGAAGGATTGGACCTGATCAACAATGCCAATCAAAGTTCATGATAGCAAACAAAATCACTCTAGTTGCTTAAAGTTTGGATGTTTGGATTCAACGATACAAAAGAGGGCAATCAAAGGCATTAAATTATGTATTTAGGAAATCGTACCTTCTCAACAATAGATGTAAGCTTGAAAGTTAAGTACAACCCTGTAGTCAGTGATGAAAATAGGCCTCCATATTCTTTGTTTAAGAAGAACCGATACCAGACAGGAGTTGGTAACAATGCACGGTACAACAGTAGGGTATACTCCACCAGAGTGAGCATTTGACCCTTAAAAACCAATTATCTAATGTCAGCGAACTCCAAACAAAATAAGACAATAAAAAAATGTTCGAGTTACCTGCCGACGGAAATTATGGCCTCTTCCATTCTTATAATACATTAGCAGCACACACTTCAAAGCCATAGCTGCCTGCCTCACCATTGTGTCTGAAACAAAATAAAATTCTCAAGGATGTTCCCAAAGATCGATTGATATATAACAATTGTCATGATAGTGGAATGATGTTTAGGATATGCAACATTTTAGAACAAAAAAAGAAAGTTGATATAAAGCAAAACAGAAGCCTGATGGAAAACCACAACAGGGTTAACACACAGATTTTCATATAAAACTATGCCACAAAATTATTAATCCCAGACTGAAAATAAACCTCCACGGGGTGAAATCCTCCTATAAAATGAAACATTAAGTGAATAATTTAAAGCTAGAAAAGCAAGAGTAAACACTATTGAGTGGACATGCAAATAAGCATACTGCAAAACCAATCTACATAAATACGTAAATTAACCACACGTATTCACCAAGGCAATTTATTCCCTTCCAAAATTTTGTTACCCCACTATATACATGCAAAGTTCACATGCAGGTAGCAAGAGCACAAAAGGCTGGACCATGTATCAGTCACACCACTAACAGCTCGTTTGTATTAGTGATTTGAAGAGAAAAGAAAATAAATCAATATCTCTTGGTCCTAATCACTTGTTTGGATTACTAAACAGGAGAGAAATGATGAGAAATATTTTTCTCATAGCTCACTTTTTGAATCTCTCCAAATTGGAGAGATTGTGAGAGAAGAAATGGAAAGATTACTAATTTTGTATATAACCAAAATTGTCCATCTACCTACAAAAGAAATAAAAACATAAAGGTGATTTTGGTAAAATAACCTGCACGAGTTTCTTTTCCTTTCTTTTGTGTAATCTATCCAAACAAGATTGGAGGGAAAGCACTATCTTTTCTTTTCTTTTCTTTCCAACTTAACCAAACAAGAGAGAGAGAGAGAGAGAGAGAGAGAAATCACAGTCAGCCTTTTTCTTTTCTTTTCTTTTCTCTCCTAACATAACAACTCATTTCTTTTCTTTTCTCTCCTAAATATCCAAACATAGTGTAAATGAATTCATCACATAAATAGCAAAAAAAATAAACAAATCAAAATCCATACCATTTACCAAGATGACGAATATAGCATGCCAGAAAGGTGGTACTTCTTTAGGAGGAACCATGAATAATGGATATAAAAGATCATCGTTCCAATACCACCAATAAACACCAATCACTTGAAGCATAAAAACTGTGGAGATGCCAACAAGAATGGATATCTTTCTCTCACCCTGCAGAAACCAACAATTGATAAGTATGGACTCTCACTCTCTCTTTCTCTCCCCTCTTATTTTGTTCTTGCTAGGGAGAAGTGGATCTGCATTGTTTCCACCTAATTCAGAAATATAAGACACACCTTCAGTGCTGTTTGCTTTCGAAGAATGTCATTCGACTTGAACATAACGGCAGTTATCCAAATTGTGACAAAGAAACCTACAATTCCACAAATAAAAGGAACTATCACTAAATATTAAAAGAAACTCCCACAATATCCAAAAGAGTCAAGAAAGCAAGCCAGTGCAAGGGGGATTAATTTATATTTAGGCAATAAGCATAGAACATTTCATCACAATCTTATCTACTAAATGGAAAATAGCTCTAGATATGGAAATTTGAGACATTACATCTAATATTCAAGTATCCTTGATGCAAATAGAAATTAAAATTATGAGGGCATAAGAAGACAACTATGTATTCCTCTTAAAACCATTCTTTATAAATTATAGTACAACAGAAGGAAATTAAATATGTACAGTTGAAGTGTAAAATATGTAGAAATTAGGGTTAGGGTTAGAGATAGAGGGAGAAGAAGGAAGGAAGAAGAATACAACAATAATAGGTTTTATTCACCCAAAAAAACAATAATAGGTTTAGAGTTGTTAACCCAACATTAAGCACAGTATTAATTAAATTACACACACACACACACTATTCTAACACTCCTCTTCAAGCTGGAGCATAGAGATTAAACATGTCCAGCTCGTTAGATAAGCGTTGAAAGGAAGAACGAGACAACGGTTTAGTAAGAATATCACCCAGTTGATCATCAGACCGAATATAGAGAGTCACAAGTTGCTTCCGTATCAACAAAATCCCAAATTGAGTGGCAGTCAACCTCCATATGCTTGGTGCGTTCATGAAACACAGGATTATTGGCAATGAAAATAGCAGCCTGATTTTCACAACACATGCGCATAGGAGTAGGAATACGAAGGCCAAAATCTTGCAGAAGAGAGCGAACCCATAAACATCTTAGAAATAGTATGGGCTATTGCACGATACTTAGCCTCAGCACTAGATCGGACAACAACATTCTACTTCTTGCTACACCACATAACTAGGTTATCACCAACAAATGTGCAATAACGAGAAGTAGAACGACGATCAGTGCGACTACCAGCCCAATCAGCCATGAGAACAAGAGTCACGGAATAATCACGCAACCAGTAGAAACAAGAACAAGAACCACACCAAACCAACAAGAGAAAGCAACAAGAGGAGGTGTAAACCCAGAACATACAGCAATAGCACCAGAAACCACCTTGAAGAGACTACTATTACGCAGATATACAATGATAGTTAAGTTGACAGCTGCAATACTTTTATAAAGACCTAAAATTAGGGATTTATCAATTGGTAACATTACACCAATACCAAACCAAAGCGTCAATGTGGAATCAATCAAAAAGATAATTATCGCTATTGGGTGGAGAAATAGATTTTGAAATTTGTTTCATAGGAAAGCGCTAAGCCCCCAAGCCTGGTATCTTGCAGTTAGCAACAGCTCCATTCTCTCCTTTTAATCTTAAGCCCTTTACAACCATCAAATTGCACCAAGTTTGTATCTGCACTGCCAATGATTTGTGAGAAACTATGTCCAAATCAACTCAAATAATTCTTCAATATTGTTGTACCATTTCCTAGATACACCAAGATACGCTCATTTACAATCTTATTATACTTTTGTATTCTAATTATTGCAAGGTGCATTAATTGAGATATGGGATGTGAACCGATGTACTTAAAAATGTCACCCTCACGATTACATAAATTTATTGACGTAGTCGAACAGTTATAGCTTCTAACATCAGAGCATTTGATTCTTGACGTGTCTACTCGTTGGAACTCTACATATGCAATGTTAAAGTTTGCATTGGTATTCAAGGAAGTATTTCCAAGATACAAAGAAAAAGATCCATGCTACCAATGGCTACTGTCAGCAGAAGATTGGGAGAGGGCTCAACAAGTTTGTAAGCTTTTTGGATGCTTTTAATGAAGCTATGAATGTTTTCTCATGTTATTTTTTCCTAACATCTAATTTATTTCTTCCAGAGATTTGGAAAATAAAACAAATATTAAATGAGAAGTTGACAAATAATAGGAATTATTTGAGAGATATGAATTATAAAATGAGAGAATATATTGATAAGTTTTGGAGAGAATCCAATTTACTAATGGCCTGTGGAAACAATTTTGGATCCTAGATACAAAATGAAGTTGATTGAATTTTGCTTCCTAAAATTTATATGGTTGTTGAATCTGATAAGCATATCAATCTTATTTGTTCTTTGTTGTATGAATTGTATGATGATAATGCTACTACTCATGCTTCAAGTAATATTGGAGCCAGTGATTCTCAAGTTTGAAGCTCTTCTAATAATACTATTACTAGTTGCAGAACAAAAGAAAAAACCAAGAGTAAGACAGAATTTAATACACGGGCGTACGAGTTGGATACTAGTTTTTTTAATTTAATGTAAAATCAATGGAATTGGATAATGGTTGGCATATTCCATATATATTATTTTTGCATGAAACTCAACTTTGTCTAGGACAAAACGATGATGCTCTTGCTCTTTTCAATGTTCCGGCTAAAACAAGCTCACCCTTAAAGAGTGAGCTGAGTAAATACTCAAGAATCAAGATTGAGCTCGATTTGAATATCTAACATTTTATTGAGCTGAGCCAAATTATTATTGAATTTGTTTCTTAAATTGCGAGTTGGGCTTGAACACTAAAGTTTGAAAGTGTCTCAAGCCCAAGTCAAGCTTGAATGGAGATTGCAATTATCAAGCCAATCTTAAACAATACTGAACTCGGCTTTGCTCGATTTCAACCCTACTTGTAAAGACAAAAGAAAAACATTCTTCTCCTTCAAACTTCATCATTAACTCTTTCACTTAAAATTTGGCCTAAGAAAATCAAATGCAGCATCACCACTCTCAACTTAGAAAACCGAAAACATCAAACTTCAAATCTCTCTAGCCACACTATAGTGTAAATGATTCATACTTTCCACATTCTTGCACATACAACACCAATCCATAACAATCTCCCGTCTCTTCCTCAAAATAACCTCGAGGGACACTATCCACAAAACAAAGAAAGCTAGCTTGGGAGGAGCCTTGGTTCTTCAGATCCCCATCCATAGGAAGGAAGACTCCCAATGCCCACACAACAACTAACAAAACAAACCACCTGAGAAGATACCATTTCCAGAAGCTCTCCATATCAACAAAATCCTCCTCTCCCTGACTCGGCACTCATAGCATCCCAAAGAAAGATGTCATAGAATCAACCTACCAATCCTGCAATCTGGTCCTAAATTGAGGGCCCCATACAACTCCCCCAAGAGAAATGAATAAGTAACTCCCCACAGTAGCTCCTTTGTCATCAGCCCGGGAAAAATCTCACTCGAAGGCCTATGTCAGCACCAACTATTGTACCAGAAACTTACTCTATTAGCAATGTTCTCATTGTTAAAAACAGCCTTGCTGCTGAAGCTAATTAACCCTGTACCCTCTGAACACAACTATACACAAAGACATTGACGAAGTTGCTAATTGAGCTATACTGCCCAGATTAGCCATTTGCCCAAAGCATGACTGGGTTGAGTGAAGCAAATACTCAAACCAGCTAAAATTTAGCCTAAACCACAGGCTGAAGTTGAGTTCAAATTGAACTTCTTGGTTAGTATCTAAGTAATCAAGATAGGCATTGCAGACACACAGCATAGGATAAACTGTACTTAACAAATACACAAGGAACAATAGTTTTTTAATTTTTTTTTTTTTTTTCCATAAAGACTCGAGATAGAGAGCCAGCTTCTGAATTTTGGCCTAAACCTGTGAATGTAACTGCACCCAACAACCAAACCCAGACACTATTGTCTATATATATTACCAACTCTAATTAGCATTTTCTTCTTCTTTTTTTTTTTTGGATAACTCGGTATCTGGCCCACTGGACCGACAAATCCGGGAGACCAATCCATTGTTCATAGACTAAACCATTGTTTCAAACCTGAGACATTGTTCATAGATCAGATATACATTCTTCTACATACATTACCAACTAATCAGATTAATTCTTGTATAAACAACAAAAAATAAATACAAGAAATCTAAGGGAGGTTTGAACCAAATACCTTGCAAGTGCTGACGAATGAAGACCACCAACAAGAGCAACGAAAAGGGAAGAACCTGCTCGACCAACCTCGCAACCTGCTGTATATCATACCTCTGGTACGAAGAATCCCTATTACTATTCCCACTTCCATCACCTCCCTCTCCATTTCCTGTATCGATCCCCCCCGACGGAGACGATGCCGACGAAACCCTCTCTCCATCACCAAATTCACCGCCATTCCCCCCCTCATGGTCCAACCTCGGACCCGCCACACCAGCAATCTGACCTATAGCCTCTTCACTCTCATCAAACCCTACCTGTTCTTGCTCTCCGGCACCGATTATCCTAATCGAGACCTCTCCGTCACCGCTTGCCGAACCAGAATCGCTCGAATGGCGGTCATCGGCGCCGGCCATCAAACCCTCGGCCTCGTGATGGTCCGATCTCGGGCGAAGAATGCCGGAATATTCGAGAAGAGTGGATACCGGCGATTGCAAGAAGCTCAGCGCCGGGAATTGCAATCCATACCTTCTTCTTGAATTGCTAGTACTGGTTGATGATGATGATGATGATGAAGAAGAAGAAGAAGAAGAAGAAGAAGAAGAATTGGTATATGCATCAGGATTGGCATCCATTTCAAACCCCTCTCTACAGTCTCTCTCTTCTCTCTCTCTCTCTCTCTCTCTCTCTGTGAATATATATATATATATAGATATGTATGTATATGTGTGTATAGCCCTAACCCTTTGAGGAAGAAAGCAGAGGAAGAAAATATCAAAGGATGGAAGTCAAACGAGTGAAAATGGGGGTGGGTGAGGTGACATATACTATACTGATTTAGAGATTAAGACAGTGTTTGGAAAAGACTTAAAAATCGAATTTTTATTTTTTTTTAAATTTTTAAATGAGAGGGCGTCGTGTCATGTGGATGATGGTTCATTGGCTCTGCAACAAACAACATCAAAAGATTGCTGTTTCAGATTGTTTTCGTTTTCTTTTTATTTCCATTTGGAAGAAATGCTTTTTTTGTTTTTATGCCGACTTTTGGGAGTTTTCTTCTTTGGCTAAATTACCTTAATAGTCCTTAAATATTTTATTAATTTCATTTTTTTTTGGTTGGCATTTTAACCTTTAATATTTATTAATAGGAGAGGTTTCCCTTAGGTCTAAATCGATCTAGAGAGAGCAATGAGGTCTCTGTAAGCTCACCACGTAGCCTGCATTAATAATTTAGACCGATCAATGTATAGAATTCGTTGAGTACTTTGTTTTTGTAAAAAATCACGTTGATCAGATATTGATAGTCACTTGATCAGATCATATTTCTATCAACAGTAAATATAATTTTAAAAATAAATCGTTGACAGAAATATGATCTAATCAAGTGACTATTGATATCTGATCAACGTGGTATTTTACAATTATAAAATACTTGACGAGTTCTACATATTGAACGGTTTGAATTATTGATACGGTCTTCGTACAACACCTCCAATTGAAAAGCCTAACTAGAGAGAACTCAACCCCTTTATTAATTATATCGATATACATTTTTTTTTTTAACAAAAAAACTTTACATATTAATCTGATTCTGACGTAATCATCTAGTCTAAACTCTCATCCAAAAAACATTTATACCGTCCACACTATTACATAAAATACACCTCACTTAATATAAACAATTTTGTAACACAATTTTGATTTTCAAAATACTCATAACAATATTATATTGTTCTTAAATATTTATAATTGTTTGTCAGCTATTGTAAGAATCAAAAAAATAAAATCATTAAACTAAATCATTAAACTAATAACTGGTATTCACTATATATCATGACTTTGCCTCTATTTTCACTCACCATTTTATGCACACATTGCGTGCACTTCTAATATATATATATATATATATATTGATTAAGTTAAAATAAAAATAGTACATAAAAGAGTTTAAGAGGACACGTACGTCCTCTCACAACAAGCTCCAACAATGTCTACAACAAGCAGGCTTACAATTTAGTTTGGAGGGTCTTCAAAAACTACCAAATGGTCTTGATGTATTACACCTAGGTTAGCTAGCGCATCAGCCATTTGTTACTCTCACCGTAGATATGGTTAAGTGAGCATTTGCATCTCTTCATGAGGAATTTGGTGTCTTTCAATAGTGCTCTCTAAGGGTAATTAGAGGAGGTCCCAGCCTTTATTAATTGCACCAACTGCTCTGAATCAATTTTTATCATAATTTCTTTCATCTCTTTAGTATGATGGTTAGACCCTTATAGACACCCCATAGCTCCGCTTCATCACTTGTTGCATTGCCAATGTTGCCAAGGTAGCTGAAGTGGGATAAAATTAACTAAGTATTGGTGTTCGGTCCAATGCCAGATCCGCCCCAGTAGAGGAGCTAAGGGCTCGACCCAATGACCAAAAACATGTTCCAAAGCAAGACAATCAAGGTAGCGGCCTAGTGCCAGTCCCACTCTGAAACGGACTGAGCAACATGTTGAACAACCACTCCGAAGTGGGCCAAGCAACATATTGGACCTCCTAGTTAGGCAGGCAACCACTCCGAAAGTGGGCCGAGCAACATGTTGGACAACCACTCCAAAGTAGGTTGAGTAGCATGTTGGACCCACTAGTTAGGCAGGCAACCACATCGAAGTAGGCCAACTTAGATAAGGCCAATTCACCGAATATCTTTCTTAGAGCTCGCAAGAGACAAACAACTCTGCTCTTCTCCCTTTGTCTGAACAGAACGTGGAGACATGAAAACGTAGAAGGACAAGGCGTACACATGACAGACCTACACCTGAGTGTTAGCCGGAGTGGTCGTCCTCGTCTTCCAATGAGAGATGATCACTAATGAGAGAAACAAGACTGAACTGCACCCGAGTGTTAGGCGGAGTGGTTGTCCTCCTCCAATGGGAGATGATCACGAACAGGACAAATGGGACAAATGGCGAAAAGAGAAGGACTTGGAGGACAAACAACCTTTTCCTATAAAAGGTGAACACTATTCACCCTCAAGAGATCCGAAATCCAAACACTTAACATATACACTCTTTGTATTATCTTTGCTTCCTCTCCCTTAGTCCCTAACTTTACCATTGGAGGGGTTTCCGACCAAACACCGGTCGGGTAGCCTCACCGTTGTTACTTTGAGTAAGAATTTATGTATTTATTGATTGTTGTTTATTTTGTTGTAATTTTCTGTCTATTACAAATGGTTCCTTATATAGATGTAGGTGTAGTGGATGGTGATAGTGGTGTAGTGGGTTAGGTTTAGTGGAGTAGGTGAGGTGGTAGTGGTGGTAGGTGATGATAAATTCTAACAGCCCCCCGCAAACTCAAGGAGGATAGAAACTAACCAACTTGAGTTTGAAGAGAGGAACAAAACAAGAAAATACATAAAAAAAAAAAGAGGATAGGAGACACTGTATGGTCGTGTCAGACCATTGGTGAAGACACTGAATGGTGGTGTCATAACGTTGTAGAGGACACTGTATGGTGGTGTCATAACGGTGTAGAGGACACTGGATGGCCACGAAGTGATATTGAAAGAAAATATGACAGCGAAATGGGTTAAGGTCCAGCAAGCGGCCAAGGCAAGGTTGCCGCCCGCCAGTGAAACAAAATTACTAGGTACTTAATCTAACTCTAATACCAAAAATAACGAAAAAAAAAAAAAAAATGATAGGAGACACTGTATGGTCGTGTCAGACCGTTGGTGAAGACACTGTATGATGGTGTCATAACGTTGTAGAGGACACTGTATGGTGGTGTCATAACGTTGTAGAGAACACTGCATGGGGGTGTCATAACGGTGTAGAGGACACTGGATGGCGGTGTCAGACCGATGTAGAAGACAGTTTATGGGGTCATGTCGGACCGTTGTAGCAGACAATGTTGTGACAGTTGTTGTGACAGTTTACAGAGTCTTGCTGTACCCTTGTAGAAACTAACCGGAATCTATGTCGGGACAGTTTACAGAGTCTTGTCGGACCCTTGAAGGAGCTAACCGGAATCAATGTCGGGACAGTTTACAGAGTCTTGTCGGACCCTTAAAAAATACACTGTAGGATGGTGTATATAAGCTGCCCAAATATATATATATATGGAGATATATAGTGAGCCCTCAAAAGTCGCGCCCTCAAAAGCGCGCGCCCACTTCATCAAAAGACGTGCCGGATGCATCATGGCGAGGCACGTGAGTGCCTTGGTTGGCGCGCCCGTTTGTCGGCTGGTGGTAAGAGGCGCGCGATGCGCGTGGCTGCCTCGGCTATAAGACGGAGGCTGAGGCTGAGGCAAAAAACCTGCGAGAGATATTCTGAGAGAGAGTTTTGAGAGAGATTCTGTAACACTCTGTTTTCTGAGAGAGATTTCTGAGAGAGATACTGTGTAACACTCTGTTGCCGAGAAAATGGCTTCATCGTCTTCCCGCGGGCTGCTCACTCTCTTTCCCGACCTCAACGAGTCAACGAGAGAGACAACTGGTGCGGTGGCACTGGAACCTCAACCAAGCGCCCCGGAGTTTACTCCGTTGAACTTTCCGATGCGGTCTGTGGAGCAAAGAATGGCAGTGCAGTCGGATGTGGAGGCCAATCAGTATACTTTGAAGGCATGTGTGGAAAGCATGACGGCGGTCAAAAACTTGTCGAACCGGCTGCAGAGTAGGACAAATGAGGTGCAGCATTTAAATGCCCAGCTGGCTCTGCTCCAACGCATGTATAAGGATGCGCGAGCAGAGATCAGTGTGCTAAAGGCAGCAAACAAGGAGCTGAAGCGGAAGGCCACCGTGATGTTCCGATTCGGAGGGCCACCATATGCTGCAGTGGAGGAGCAGGGAGGAGGCAACTTTTTTTAAACATTTTGTCAATTACCAAACGCGTTTGTAGTTTATGTTTTTCTAAAAATAAACAAAAAATAAACAAAAACCAGTTTATAAAATTTTTGTAAATATAAACTGAAAACGTAAACGTTACCAAACACACCCTTAACATATACACTCTTTGTATTATCTTTGCTTCCTCTCCCTTAGTCCCTAACTTTACCATTGGAGGGGTTTCCGACCAAACACCGGTCGGGTAGCCTCACCGTTGTTACTTTGTGGAGATCTTCACTTCCCAGAGCACGCTATTTTTCCACAAAGTTGAACCCTTTCATAGTGCAAAAATCACCTCCGCACAGTAGCCATGAAGCCAAGCACCTCTTGAGTCGCAAAAGAGACCTCCAAAACTAGTTGGACCCAAGTTCCCTTTGGAGCATCCATCCATATCAAGCTTGATGTTTCCTGCAATTGGACAAAACCATTTGTTAATAGAAATTCCAATTATGGGGTTAGATTGAAAAGCATTTGAATTTCATTGGCTTGGTACAGAATGCTTCCAATAGCCTCTGGTGCATTCCTCCTGTCGAAAAACCACATTATTTCTTTCTTTTCAAATTCTAATATGAAAAATGCTTATATTATTATTACATTAAGTACATCTATTAATGTAAAAAGCTACCAATTAAGTAGTTTAAAAAAATCTGCTTATTTTGCAATACAAATTTTCTTTCCGACCTAGAAATATATATAGTTAAACATGCTATTCTCTCAATAATAAATCAAAAAGTTTGGATGTATTTCATTTTGTAAATAAAGTACATTTTTTGTGCTATGTAAATTTTTTTATCGAGTAATGAGATAAATTCTTTTTAATATCTTTCAAATATTTGACATGAGGCTGATGTAATTAATTTTTTATATGATTTTTAAATTAAAATTGTTATTTTGTTCTAAATTTTTTTAAAAATACTCATAAGTGGAAAAAGAGCAAGACTTAGGCAAATAAGTTTGATCAATAAAATTGGCCCATAAGTTTCTTCAGTGTATTACGGGCCAATCATCCTATAAATACATTTAAGCTGCGTGTAATGCACCAATAAATCTTAAAATATTTATTTTGTTCTAATATTTTTTAGATATATTGATAAGTGAAAAAATGAATTGAATTTATAAGTAAGTTTGGTCAACAAGAATGACCCATCAATCCCTTTAAAATAATAATGTAAAAAAAACTACATTAAATTAACACGTGAAATTTATTAATGCAATTAATATGAATAAACGATTAAAAATCGGAAATGCCTGGTAGCTCGAAGCTACCAGGCTCGAAATGGCTCAATTAACACGTGAAATTTATTAATGCAATTAATATGAATAAACGATTAAAAATTAAATAAAAGTTTTTATTTTATTTTGTTTTTTTTTTGTTTTTTGTTTTTTTTTTTTGATTTTAATTTCGTGCACGGCCCGAACCCAATACACGGAGACAGCGAAGAGTAAAGTAGTAAAAGATTAGCATCGCCGCGTGAGCAATGATCTGATGATGACTCTTATTATAACCTACTTTGATGAATATTATAAAGCAAAAAAGTTGGCGATTGCTTGTTTGTATTGTGTTATTAAAAAACTTTTATATAAATATGTTTTGATTCTTTTCTTACAATGCTATGTTCCTAAAGTTTGCATCACCCCCACAAAGCAAAACACTGACATTTGTCATCGGTTAGTGATTTTGGGTCACTGTTTTGGGTATTGTATATGTGATTGATTTATGGAGACACTTTAATTTTATTTTGATAATTTGGATAATTTATTATTTAAAAAATATTGAATAAAATATATTTATAAAAAATTAAATTGATTGGATATTGTGGGGATATATTTTCGAGTTCCCAACACATGGCCAAGGTGACGCCGACGTGCCTGCTGAGGTGCCACGTGTCGAGATTATGACGCCGAGGTGATTATCTCCGAAGATATCGGAATTCGAGATAAGCGGATAAGGCAAGAGTCCAGGAATAAGGAAGAACTTCAGCATGGATAAGGATAACACTCTGAGGGAGTTTATCTTTATCTCTTGAAGAGTCTAGGATAAGCACTGAGCTAAAGTCCATTGAAGCTAGGCTTCTATAGGGACTAGGATTGAGTTAGCTATAAAAGAAAGGCACCCCCGATGGGTCTAAGGTACGCAATCTATACTCAGAACAGTGAGTTTAGCAATTAATTATCTTTAAGAGATATACTGACTTGATCGTCGGAGTGCCCCTGGGTGGACGAACCACCGCCGGAATCTTCTCTTTCTGTTGTAGGTCAGCCAGGTGTCAACTTTTCTGCCAGTACTCTCCAGTTGAATACTAAGTTGGCAGTGTGATCGGAAATTCACTCACACAATTTGGCGTCGTCTGTGGGAAAGAAAAAAAGAATAGATGGCCAGTGACGGACAGAAGAATAAGGTTGGGGACAAAATCCCTGCTGGGAGTGGTAAACACGTTGACCCAAACGTGGAGGAAGATGGTTGCAATGAGGAGACTCAGAACCAGAATCACGGCAAGAAAGACGTCGGCCAGGATGGCGACATGCCAAATAAACCAGATTGAAGCGGATACTACAACGAGGACGACCTCCAGGTATGGAAGGATAGATGCCTGCGGAGGGACGAAGAGGTGAAAGAGATGGCAAACCAGTTGGCAGACCTGCAATCGGTCGTCAATTTTATGATGTAAAATAACGTCATGCAGCCACCATTCCCACTGCAGGACACGCCGATTCCAGCGGCCAATGCCCAGAAGGGAGGGCAGAAACCAATCCCAATAGCCCCTCAGCACACCAGAAGCAAAAAACACTCTCACCGACCTTCCAGGGAGGTCGGGCGAGGAGAGTCGAGGAGAGAAGAGTCACGAAGGACACACCGCACTAAAGAAGCAGACCCTAGAGAATATCGGCATGTTCAAAGGCAGGAGCTGTGCTTCGGCACAACTCATGGAGAAAGGTCAAAAAGGGCCTACAACGAAGCTGAGAGCAGTATGCCAAAAAGACTGAAATCGGGAGATAGCCGAGCTCTTGGGCGGAGTAAGGAAGACTTGAGAGATTACCTCAAGAGGAAACAACATAATGTCGATGCTGAGGTAACTTCACTTGTTAAGCCGAGAACACCATTCTCAGTGGAGTTGGACAAATTTGAGGCGCTGAAGAGATTCAGTATGTCGAGGTTCCAAATATACGATGGTAAGTTAGACCCCAACTTCCACGTTGGATTGTGCTTGAACTCAATGACATTGTATAGTAGGAACGAGCCGTTGCTCTGCAAAGTGTTCCCCTCATCCTTCGGGGAGATTGCACCATATTGGTTTCACAAACTACCAAAGAGAAGTGTGAAGACTTGGGAAGGCCTGGCCGAGATGTTTGTGGCCAGGTTCGTGACAAATAAATTACAGCCATTAAGGGTGGATGCATTGATGGCTCTGAGAATCAGTAAGGATAAAGGCCTTAGGGTCTATGCAAAAAGGTACTGTGAGGTGTTCAACCGAATACCCGAGTGTAATCAAGAGGTGGCGGTCGTATCTTTCAAGAATGGCCTAAAAGATGACTGTCCACTACACAAGTCTTTGGCAAAGACACTGCTAAAGAGCATGGAAGAGCTCATGGCTAGAATTGAGAAGTATGCCAGAGCTGAGGAAGATACGTCGGGGACGAAGGAGACAAAACAAGAAAAAGGAAACGGCTCGCCGAAGTGAGGCCGAGGTAACAATGGATCCAGCAAGCAAGAGATAGGACTGAGGACTACACATGCAGTTACAACTGTGTTCCGAATACCGATTCACAAAGTCCTGGATAAAATTCTGAGCCAACCCTATTTCAGAGCACCAGCGAGGGCACCAGGGGAGTTAATGGGAAGAAACCTTGGCAAGCATTGTGCTTACCACAATGAAGATGGGCACATGACTCAAGATTGTAGAGCCCTGAAAACACACTTAGAAGACCTGGTGAGGCAAGGCCATCTGAGAGACCTTGTCGATGAGGCCAGGACAAAGGAAGAACAGACAAGACTGCCTCAGGCACCAACAACTCCGCCTCCTCCAACACAACAACCTCAGGCAGGAGGACCTTGGGTAATTAATGTAATTCACTCGAAGGTCAACGAAAACGAAATTCGGGGGGAGACCCAAAAGGTAAAGCACCTACAACATGTCTACCAAGTCGGGGAAAAGAGACATCGGGTAGAGGTGTACCAAGGACCAGCAGTGTCCTTTACTGAAGCCGACCTTGAGATGGTCTAACATCCCCACAATGATGCCTTGGTAGTATCCCTCCAGGTCGGGGAGTGCCAAGCGAAGCGCATCTTAATCGACCAAGGTAGCTCTTGTGACATCATGTACGTCAGGTGTTACAAGGAGCTTGGCCTTCACCCAGACAATTTGAAACAATCCAATGGCCCAATGGTCAAGTTCAATGGAACGCCTACGTAGCCACTGGGAACAACGAGCTTGGAGGTGCAGGCTGGCACTAGGAAGATACAGACAGAGTTTATCGTAGTCGACACACCATCCCCTTATAATACAATTATGAGGAGGCCATGGTTGTACGTAATGAGGGCTGTTCCCTCAACATTGCACCAACTACTGCAGTTCCCAACAGAGCATGGGATAGAAGAAGTCAGAGGAGATCAGCTGTAGACAAAGAATTGCTCCATGGTAGCAATGAAATCTACCTACAGCATACAAAAACTAGAGAAGGCAGAAATCAAAGATGAGGACGTGGAAGTCCTAAAAGATGTCGGCAAGGAGCCAGCAGAGAAAAGTGAAGAAGCACTGAAGAAAATCCTCGTCTAGGAAGGAGATAAAGAACGTTTCTTCCTTCTTGGCTCGGGTTTAGCCGAAGAAGAGGAAAAAGAGTTTGAGGCTTTTCTGAGAGCAAACATTGAAGTATTTGCCTGGACGCCTTACGAAATGCCTGGCATTGACCCCGAGGTCACTTTCCATAAACTGAACGTTGACAGGTCGGCCAAACCTGTAATCCAACGAGCAAGAAGACCGACGTTAATGCACGTCGAAGCAGTAGAAGAAGAAGTAGATAGACTTCTGGAGGCCAGGGCCATTCGAGAGGTAAACTACCCGACATGGCTATCGAACACAGTAGTGGTGAAGAAAAAGAATGGTAAATGGAGGGTCTGCGTAGACTTTACTAGCCTAAACAAGGCCTGTCCCAAAGACAATTTTCCTTTACCTAAAATTGACAAGCTAGTGGATGCCACTTCAGGGCATGGAAGGATGAGCTTCATGGATGCCTACAGGGGGTACCACCAGATAGCCATGTACCCCCCAGATAAAGAGAAAACCCCGTTTATCACCCCAAAAGGGTTGTATTGCTACAGAGTGATGCCTTTTGGATTGAAAAACTCAGAAGCAACTTACCAAAGATTAGTAACCAAGATGTTTAAACACCTGATTGGCCAAACGCTGGAAGTTTACATCAACAACATGGTCGTGAAGACCAAGGAACCCGAGGGTCATCTGGCCGACCTAAAAGCAGTCTTTGAAATCCTTAAAACATATCGCCTCCGACTCAATACATCGAAGTGTGCATTTGGAGTTGGATCTGGTAAGTTCTTGGGGTACCTGGTGACCAGAAGGGGCATTGAGGACAGTCCAGATCAAATCAAGGCCATCTTAGAATTAAAGACCCCAATGTCGGCAAAACAAGTGCAAATACTGACTGAAAGGGCCGCAGCCCTGAACAGGTTCATAAGCAGAAGCTCAGACAAGTGCAAACCTTTTTTCAACTTAGTGAAGAAAGCCACAGACTTCTTATGGACCGAGGAGTGCGAAACCGCCTTGGCCGACTTGAAGAAGTATCTAACCACAGCTCCAGTTCTTTCAAATCCAGAACTTGGAGAGGAGCTGTTCCTGTACCTAGCAATTTCAGAACATGTGGTAAGTGCAGTGGTAATCCGAGAAGAAAAAATGGAGCAAAGGGCTGTTTACTATGTAAGCAAAACCCTGGTTGACGCAGAAACCAGGTATTTACCCCTACAGAAGTTGGCGTTGGCATTAGAAATGGCTTCAAAGAAGCTGAACCATTACTTCCAAGTCCACAAAATTGTGGTGTTAACAGAACACCCATTAAAGTCCCTGTTGCAGCAGGGAGACCTGACAGGGAGAATAGCCAGATGGGCAGTGGCCTTGGACCAGTATGACTTGGAGTTCAGACCCAGAACAACAATCAAAGGCCAGGTTTTGGCCGATTTTGTGACCGAGTTCACGCCTGAATCCATCATACATCGGGCTCCGTTGAGCCGACGTGAACGATGTCCAAACCAGCAAAGAGGAGCCTAGTCAAAGGAACAAAGGAAGGAAGAAAAACTCAAACCCTGCAGCATTTACATCGGCGATTCCTTCTGACTGTTTGTTGATGGGAGTTCAAACCGACAATGAGCGGGGATATGAGTAGTTCTGGTATCTCCAGATGGACAGATATTAGAACAATCCATTCGTTTGGGGTTTAAGGCCTCAAACAATGAAGCAGAGTATGAAGCATTGATTGCGGGACTAAAGCTGGCAGTAGCAGTAGAAGCAGATGAGGTAATAGTCTTCTATGATTCACAGCTCATAGTCAACCAAACAACGGGCGAGTTCTCAGCCCGAGATGAAAGGATGTCGGCCAACGCAAAGGAAGTCAACAGGTTGGTAGCCCTGTTTCAGAATTGCCGACTACATCAGGTAAGCCGAGATGATAACAGTCACGCCGATATACTGGCTAACCTGGCTAGTGCAATACAACCTGGAAAAGCAAGGACAATAATGGTTAACTATTTGTTGGGCCCGAGCATCGAACCACTGACCATAGAGCATGAAGCAATGTGTGTGGACATAGGACCAAGCTAGATGGATACAATTGTTGCATTCCTAAAAGAAGGAAAGCTGCCAGATGATCACAAAGAGGCACACAAGATCAGATTGAAGTCGGCAAGGTTCAGTTTGACAGCAGAGGGATATCTTTACAGAAGATCCTTCACTGGACCTCTTTTGAGGTGCGTACATCCTTCACAAGTTGAAGATTTTTTATATGAAATACATAAAGGAATTTGCGGAAGCCACGCTGGGGGCAGATCACTAGCTCATAGGGCCATTACCCAGGGGTATCGGTGGCCCTACATGCAGAAAGATGCAGAGGCCTATGTCAAGAAGTGTAAAAAATGTCAAAGGTTTGCGCCTCTAATACACCAACCAACAGTAGACCTAAACCCAGTATCCAGTCCTTGGCCGTTTGCCCAATGGGGCATGGATCTCGTTGGGAAACTGCCCCAAGCAACTGGACAAAGAAAATACCTGCTGGTGGTAACAGACTACTTCACCAAGTGGATAGAAGCTGAACCCCTTGCCAAAATCCGAGATGTTGATGTAAAGAGCTTCATATGGAAGAACATCATCACCCGGTTTGAGATTCCAAGAGCAATAGTTGCAGACAATGGAACACAATTTGACAGTAAGCTAATCAAGAGCTTCTGTGCAAAGTTCAAAATCAAGAATTACTTTTTCACTCCAAGTTTTCCTCAGAGTAATGGACAAGTAGAAACATCCAACAAAGTCATATTGGATGAGATTAAGAAGAGGCTGCAAGCAGCAAAGGGAAAGTGGGTGGATGAACTGCCAAGCATACTCTGGGCATATCAGACTATGCCGAGAAGATCAACAGGGGAATCCACATTTGCCATGGCTTATGGCACAGAAGCAATCATTTCTCTGGAAGTCGGCATCCTAGGGATCAAAACCCAGGAAGTGGAGAATGAGACCAATGATGTATTATTAGCCCGAGATCTGGATCTACTAGAAGAAAGAATGGAGAGAGCTGCAATATAGCTCGCAGCATACCAACAGCAGCTTGCCAGAGTTTATAATAAGAAGGTAAACCCAAGGGAGTTTCAAATCGGTGACCTCGTCTTGAGAAAGTTTACAAGTTGAAGTTAAACCGAGATCATGTTTAACACTTGTTGAAACTTAAGAAAAGTTTACAAGTTAAAGTTAAACCGATATTATGTTTAACACTTGTTGAAACTTAAGAAAAGTTTACAAGTTGAAGTTAAACCGAGATCATGTTTAACACTTGTTGAAACTTGAGAAAAGTTTACAAGTTAAAGTTAAACCAAGGTAAAACACTTGTTGAAATTTTATGAAGAAATTTACAAGTTGAAACCAAGGTTGTGCCAAGAGAGGTTCTTGGGTATTTTCCGAGGTAAATTATCGGTTTGCATAAACAAGGCGTGTCACCCTGAGAAGGTTACACAAGACTGAAGTGTATATTAAAAATGTGCAAAATATTCTAAGTGTAGAATCAAACAAGAGCAGTAAAGATGAGACAAAGATACAAGCAGGAAAGTTGTATTAACGTTCAAAAGAAAGCATGTCGGCCAAAGCTTACAAATTGTTCCAAAAAGGAAAAAAAGACATCAAAATTAAGACTCCTCAGCAACAACAGATGGTTGGGTTTGAAGTTCAGACAACTGCTGGGAAGACATCTCGGCAACCTTCTCGACCGCAAGCTCGATATCGATTTCTTGGAGGGTTACATTAAGGCTCTTGTCGGCAAGAAGTACGTTGGATGATGCTTTCTCAAGAGTAGCATCTTTGGGAACCTCCTCACCCTCCTCATCTTGAGTCAAGTCCAGGACTTGCTCATTTGGAATAGGGGACTTGACCCCAGCAGCCTCCTTTGACTTCCTCACCAGAACCTCCTCCTCAGACTCGGAATCGTCATCGGATTGGCTTGGAGTTAGGGGAAATGGCAGAGGAAGGACATCGGTGTTCCTGAGGGAGGAGTCATCGGGGATTTCGAGCTTTTTAAGTAAAGTCATCCAACCAAGGGTAAAACCCTTATTGCATGCCTGCTTTACTTGTTTTTCGTAATCCGCCATAACATCGGCCACCCCCTCATTATATCCCTTCTCGTCGGCGGCCTTGACTTCGGCCTCTTTTGTTGCCAGAGCATCCTGAAGTTCTTTCTGGGCCTGGGACATCTTTTCCTTGGCCTCTCTTTTTGGGACCTCGAGAACCTTCCTAATGGCCTCAGCGGATTCTGTGTTTTCTTCAGCGTCATTTTGAGTCTTTATAGCAGCCTCGGCTTGATCCTCCAAGGTCTTCATCTTGGATTGCAAGCTTTTATTGGTCTTTTGCAGACTGGAGACCACCCTTTTCTTATCGGCCAGTTCCTTCCGGTTCTCAAAAGATTGTAGTGAGAAGGAATGGGCGTGCTGGATTGCTTGAGAAAAAATAATACAGAGCATAAGTTATTACAAAATTTTCTAAAGTAGAAAAAAGAGAAAGAAAGAAAAATTACCAAATAAAGACACTTACTTGAACAGAGTGCTGGAGCATCAGAGCATAGTTTTCATATTTGCTCAACTCGGCGTTTCGGTTGAGATCGCCGGGAAGAAGTAGAGCGGTACTAAGGGCAACGCCAACATTAATGTCATCAGCGCTGTCGCCAGCCCTAACTGGCTTATCCTCCAGTACGATTTTGGGGGCCCAGGGGGCATCATATTTTAGGGACCCCGAGGTGGTTCGGCCTTTTTGATCTAGTGGATTCGGATGGTTGTGTTTCAGCAGACCTCTTCTCAGGAATAGAGGTGGTCTTCTCACTCTCAGCCAATTTAGAAATTAGCAAGGTGTCCTCAGAATCAATCTGAGTCACTGTTGCCTTTGGCTGAGCCTTCTTTATCCTTTTTTGCTTTAACTTTGGATGCTGGGTTGGAGCTGGTTGAGCATCAACGGAGGATGAAATGTTGGCCAAAAGATCCTTAGCGACTGGTTTTTGGCGACCCATTTCAGCAGCAAAAACTGTTCGGCGTCGTCGACGGCGTTGGGATATTGGGATCAGATATGGAGCTGAGGTAGACAGCTGCTCAGCTGGATCAGAGGTCGATCCTTGATCTGGCCGAGATGAGGAGGTAGCTTGAGGAGTTGTGCCAGAAGGAGGTGACTGGCTTTTCTTCTTTTTCTTTGGGACGTCGGGCAATGCGAATTTGTAGGTTGGGATAAAATTGAGTACCAAAGGGGCTCTCCGTTTGTGGACTGGCAGATCCAAAAGTTTCCTCAAGTCTTTGTTGGGAAAGAAAGACTAACGAAAGCCCTTTGGTGGCTGAGGAAGAGCTGCAAGAAAAACAAACATTAGAAACAAACAAAGTATTGAAGACTTTAAAAACAAGTTAGTATGAACACAGGGCTCTTACCATTGCCCTCTACAAAAACTGATCGAGGAAGAGGGTAGAGATGGAGGTCCTCGTTTGGAGCGAACTCCCAGTTCCCCGAGGTAATGAAATAGTCATCCCCAGTTCCCTTGTTGGAGTCAGGGAGGTCGGCAACAATTTTGTACTCTGTGGACCTCGGTTTGAGGTAGTAAACGTAACCCATATCCTTTTTTAGGCCACACATAGTGTAGCAGTATTGGACATCGGATAAGGTAATCCTAGCGTTTTCTTGTTTGGCTAAGGCTATTATGCCATTGATGACTCAGTAGGAGTTGATGGCAAGCTGCATCGGGTTCAGCTTATAATAATGAAGTATCTCATGGAAAAGGGTATTTAGTGGGAGTCGAAGTCCGCACTCGATAAAAGCTACCACAGAGAAGCGCATAGAATCAGTTGTAGGCATAATGGAGTCATCTTCCCGAGCCAACCTCAGATAGACGTCACCCGGGATGTCAAACTCACGCCTAAAGTGATCTAACTTGGTCGGGGTGTCTACCCTATGTTTCCACATACCCATGATATCGGCTTAACTAGAAGGAGTTGGATTTTCAGAAGGGAGTACTTTGGAGGGTTTTAGGGACCTCGGCTAAAGCCTAAGAATACACAGAATCTGTGGGGAATCGTTTCAGTTTTTTCTAAAATGGGTTCTATAAACAAGTCCCAAACCTAAAACTATGGAGATTAAGATTGACGACACGAATCTGGAAAAGTCACAAGAAAACAGAAACAGGTAATGCGATTCAGAGTCAAAAACAGTGAAGGATCATCAAGAAACACAAGACAGGTGTAACAGACCAAGAACAGTGGCAACATTCAACAAATGTGTGAACAGTGTGAATTTAAGACATAAATTGGGCATAGACAAAAGCGTGAGATAAATGTGCTCGAATACATGATTCGTAAATCAAATACTTGAGCAGAAACAGCAACAACAACAGATAAATGAAGTGAAACTTCTTGAAAGGCAACAAGAAACTAAAACCAAGAGGAACGGTGACTTACCAGAAAAAAGAAAACTGGTGTTGAAGTTCACCGAAGTCAGACGAACGACAGCAGTGGAGAAGAGTAGCAAGAATCTTGTCAGAGGAGGTAAATAACGGTGGCAGCAAAGCTTGAAAGCTTGGAACAATGGAGGATTTGAAAAAGCTAGAGAGAGAGATAGAGCCTCAGAAACGATAAAGAAAAGTGAAAAGATGGAAGATGGGGAAAAGTTTTGTTAAAACTTGAAACAATGGCAAAATAAAATTAATGAGCCTAGAATGACGGATTCGTCAGACGGCGCACGCAGGCGCGAGACGGCTTACAGGCACGTCACAAGCACGATCCAATAAGGGGAAGGTACGTGGCTAAAATGGTTGAATTATTGTGTATGATAGCTCATACGCTTAAGAAGAGCTCTTGGGATCCTTGTTCTTTAAAGAGACATGTCGGCCTTAACGGTTGTCTCGGCTGAGAAATTTTGAGCTGATATACTAGAAAGAAGTACAGATATAGGTTCCATCACTTCAGAATGTCGAGGTAATAGAACTTAGGGGGCAGTTGTGGGGATATATTTTCGAGTTCCCAACACATGGCCAAGGTGACGCCGACGTGTCAGCCGATGTGCCACGTGTCCAGGTTATGACGCCGAGGTGATCTCGACTAGGCCGAAGTTATCTCCAAAGATATCGGAATCTGAGATAAGCGGATAAGGCAAGAGTCCAGGAATAAGGAAGAACTTCAGCATGGATAAGGATAACACTCTTAGGGAGTTTATCTTTATCTCTTGGAGAGTCCAGGATAAGTACTGAGCTAAAGTCCATTGAAGCTAGGCTTCTATAGGGACTAGGATTGAGTTAGCTATAAAAGAAAGGCACCCTCGATGGGTCTAAGGTACGCAATTTATACTCAGAACAGTGAGTTTAGTAATTAATTATCTTTGAGAGATATACTGACTTGATCGTCGGAGTGCCCCCGGGTGGACGAACCACTGCCGGAATCTTCTCTTTCTGTTGCAGGTCAGCCAGATGTCATCTATTCTGCTAGTACTCTCCAGCTGAATACTAAGTTGACTGTGTGATCGGAAATTCACTCACATAGATATTAATAATTTATTTAACAAAAATTACATTTGTATATAAAAAATAATAGTAAGTGTAATTTTAAATATATAAATATAATGTAATTAGATAAAATGGTTACTGATATCTGATTAATTTAATTTTTTTACATATATATTATACTCGAAATGAGTCTCATAAAATAGAAACAGAAATGAGTTTCATAAAATGCACAATAATCACTAGTTTACGCAATTCAAATCATAGATTGTTAAACTTCAACTTGAAACTTTCTACACCACAAAGTTTCTTAATTCGCACTCTTTTTTTTCGAGTATCAATTGAATAAAATTCAATTGTTTGAATAGTAACATCCAAACAAAAATGATTTTTATGCAATTGATGCATTATTCATTTTAAAAACAAAGGGCAAATTACATATACCTCTCTTGAGATTTGGCTAAATTATAGATATCTCCCCGAGATTTCAAAAATTACATCCCGCCCTCTAAAGTTTATATTTTCATAACAATTTGCCCACTAAGGTTTAAATTTCATAACAAATTACCCCATAATTTGTTATGCAAATATAACATTCAGGAGAAAATTTGTAATTTCTCAAATCTCAGGGGGTATTTGTAATTTAGCCAAACCTCAAAGGGGTATATATAATTTGCCCAAAAACAAAAAAGGAAGTAGAAATTGGTCCCAAAAAAAAAAAAAAGTTATACATAAAAGATTGTTAAACTTCAACTTGAAACTTTCTACACCACAAAATTTCTTAATTCGCACTCTTTTTTTTCGAGTATCAATTGAATAAAATTCAATTGTTTGAATAGTAACATCCAAACAAAAATGATTTTTATGCAATTGATGCATTATTCATTTTAAAAACAAAGGGCAAATTACATATACCTCTCTTGAGATTTGGCTAAATTATAGATATCTCCCCGAGATTTCAAAAATTACATCCCGCCCTCTAAAGTTTATATTTTCATAACAATTTGCCCACTAAGGTTTAAATTTCATAACAAATTACCCCATAATTTGTTATGCAAATATAGCATTCAGGAGAAAATTTGTAATTTCTCAAATCTCAGGGGAGTATTTGTAATTTAGCCAAACCTCAAAGGGGTATATATAATTTGCCCAAAAACAAAAAAGGAAGTAGAAATTGGTCCAAAAAAAAAAAAAAAAAGTTATACATAAATTTATATAAAATGATGTGTCAAATGGATATTTAGGCCAAGTTTGGGAACACCCCAAAAAGCCAAAAAGCTAAAACAAAAAGTCAAAAAGTCAAAAAGTTACTCAAAAAGTTAAAAAGTTATCACTATTCACCAAAAGTCAACAATTACGGCTGCACAACTCCCAATTCTAATTTTCTCCTACAAATCAATTTTTACAATTTTTTATTACACATTTTTCCATAAAAAGTCAAAAAGTTAACCCAAACATTCATATTTTCAACCTCAACTTTTTAGTCTAAAAAGACAAAAAGTGCACTTATTTAGTCTTCCCAAACTTGGCCTTATTCATTTTAAATCAAAGAATAATTTTAACCACTCATTCTTAACTTTTCTGAATTTATCCCAAATGAGATTGTGTGATTGTGATTGAATTTGTGTGGTGTGAGATCCATGTATAGAATAAATCTGAACCACAAGATGAAAATTCTAAATAATTTCTAGATTGATAAGGATGGGGTGGGTTTATAGTATTACTCTAAATCAAAAGATCCATAAAATTGACTTAGCCTTGTTGGGGAATATGCTATTTTAATAATTTTTTGACTTTTTATGAAAAGGTATGCAGAATAATAAAGAGAATGATTTGATAACTTATAATGACTTTTTAACTAAAACTAAAGGTTACCAAACGAGACCTTAGTATTTCAAAATTGTCATTAATGCATTATTCTAGTAAATTTTTTTGTAGAAAAATTCTGTTTGCAAATCACTTTCATTTGAAATTTTGTGCCTTTGGTGGTAATGTTAGGACAATTTTGAACTTTAGTTTGATCTTTCACAAATTATTTTTGAACTTTGGCAGTAATATTTACATGAAAAGTATTTAATGGTGTAAACTATTTTATGATGAAACAAACGAAGTCTTCATGTAAAATGATTTTGCCTAAAAATATATATTTTTTTCATTCGTTTGATTAACACTTCAAATATTCTCTACAATAAAAATCTTAATAAAGAACTAATTATAAAAGTAAACTTTAAAAATGAAAAAAAATAAAAGAAAATGATATTCATATATAATTTTGATGTAGAATTGAACACAAATGACGCGGCAATGACACCCTTACAATTGTGAATTATAGGAAAGGAAATTTTAACTTTCAATGAGTAAATATAAATGTGACACATCGTTATATATAAGCTTTTTGTATGACTGTGGCTTCTTTCCAGTTCAAAATCAGATTGGAGCATGCTGTTGGGCCTTCATGGGCCCACTACAAAGGCTATATTGATAATTCGAACCGTTCAATATGTAGAGTTTGTTGAATACTTCATCCCTACAAAAAATTACGTTGATCGAATATCAATAATTACTTAAAAAAACCAAAATTGTGTCAACTGTAGTTATGCTCTTAAAAATAAATTATTCATACAAATGTGAATTGATCAAGTGATTATTGATATCCAATCATTGTGATTTTTTACAAGGATAAAGCACTCAACGAGCCTTACATATTAACGGTTTGGATCGTCTCGATGGATCTAAAATGAGCCCATATGAAAGCAGTGAGGTTTGATATATATGTCAAGTAGTATCGACTGTTATGAAAAAAAAAACTTATGAAATTTGTACAGCTAAATCATTTTATGCTTTATGATGGATAATATTTTATTTAAAAAATATCTTACTTACTTTTTTGGTTAACCAACCAATAAAAACAAAACAAACAAAATTTTACATGAAAAATATTTTTCAAAAGTAAAATATTTTATGTTGACACAAACGGAGACCATAAACAAAACTCAGGAGTCGGACTGTAAATTCATTCACCAATATGACTTTTTTTTTTGGGTGTCAAAAGAAGAGTAGTTATGAATATGAGAAGTACTATACAAGTTTAACAATAGTCAGAAAAATCACAAAGCTCAACAGCCAATCACCAAGTTTAAGAGTATCTCTAAGGGATTTTTTAAATGAGACATTGAGAGGGTAATTTTTGGAGAGAATTGAACCGAGCTGTAAGATGGACTTTATGGCCCAAAGTGCGACGGACACAGTAAAAGGCCGTAATGATATTCCGGCCCAGAAGAAGCATAGTTACACCGGCCCAGGAGAGGTATAGTTACTCCGGTTAGGAGAGGGGTAATTGCTTCGGCCCAAGATGGTGTAAAGCCACTCCGGTCTGGAGGTAACTTGATGTTAGTCCGGTCTCAAAGTTAGTCCGGTTGCGGTGTAATATATATATATATATATATATATTTTTTTTTATAAGAGAAAAAATAGTTAGGTTTCTCATTTATGCTGTAGTTGATAAAAAAACGAAGTAACGTTGGAGTTGCTCTAAACTCAACAACTACCATTTAACTCCCATAAAGAGACCCTAGTTATTCACCAACAAGACATTCACATGTAGTTTTGTATACTCCCTCCGTCCCAAAATAATGGTTCTTTTTGGGGAATTTAACTTTTTTTGGTAGTACAATTATTGCATTTGAAAAAAGTTAATTTTCCAAAATTATCCTTTATTTATGCTGTAGTTGATAAAAAAACGAAGACGTTGGAGAGTTGCTCTAAACTCAACAACTACCATTTAACTCCCATAAAGAGAAAAATAAATATCATAAAATATTAGACTCCTAAAGTCAAATCTACAATCTTACACCATCAAGTAATGTTACGTAGTTACTAAACCAAAGCCCTAGTTATTCACCAACAAGACATTCACATGTAGTTTTGTATATTTTGTTACTTGGGCAATGTATATATAACTTGTATCAGCTTTGATAAGAGAAACCCCAAAAAAATTGCCCTCTCCCAACAACAACAACAAAAACAAAAACAAATATAAAGAGTGCTTATTTTATTGAAGTCATGAAATGCATGCTCGGCCCTGGTGAGCGTTTTTTAATAAAATGGGACAGCTGCAATTTATTGAAAAATGCAGCTGACATAATTCGGAAATTCTTTTTGTCCAAATAAATATTCAGAGAAATGTTATACTGAAATGGGCTGGGTTTCCCTCCAATCGGTGACTCGACTGGAGTGTACTGTTGAGTCCCATGTGTACTGTTGGATCCATGGGGCTCACCACGAGTTCCGTTTTAATAATCCGAACCATTTAATATGTAGAACTTATTGAGTACTATATGCATATAAAATATCACGTTGATCATATATCAATAGTTATCTCATCAGATCAAATTTCTGTCAATTGTTTATTTTTTTATCGTCTACTTTTTTATTTTACAAAACTGATTTAATCATATAATTATTGATATCTGATTAATATGATTTTTTACATACATATAGTACTCGGCAAGTTTTACACAGACAAATAGTACTCGATAAGTTCTACACATTGAACAGTTCAGATTATCGAAACGAGACCCGTGATGAGCCTCCACGGGCCCAACAATACCCTCCAGTCGGATCACCAACCGGAGGAAAGCCCGCCCCTATTAAAATCTATTCATTTTGAATCAAACACCCACTCTATTCAAATTAATTATACCAAAATCCTTTTAACTATTTATAAATATTATTTGGCAAACTTACGTGTAAGTCCTAATAGGTGGACTTATTGTCTAATAAATCTTATGATAATTAATAGCCTCTTTCATCAAACACTATTAAAAAACGTCACTAATTGTTAATTTTCAGAGACAACTTGAAATTTATCACTAATTATAAGTTTTGACGACAGTTAAAAAAAAATTGTCACAAAAAAAATTGCTAATTTTTAACTTTCATCGACAATTTTAAAAATTCATCACAGAAAAATGTCACTAATTGTAAATTTTAGCGACAATTTATACAAACCATTGAAATCTATGAAGAGTAGATTAGGTATCTTTGATATTGGCACAAATTAACTAGACGGAACCACATGTAGGTGAGAAAAGAAGAAAAAAATTACGAACATATGGCAAGTACAAGTGTATCTGTGGTGGATGCAAATGAAAGACTGTAGGGGTGCTTTTTTTCCTTCTCCCACCTGCATATAGTTCCCCAAATAACTACCCCGAGGTTCAAAACCCAAGAATGATATGTGTGTCTATGGTGAGATGCAAATGAAAAGTTGTGGGGTGATTTTTTTCCCCTTCTCCCACCTACATGTAGCTCTCTCAAATAACTACCCTGAGGTTTAAAACCCAAGAATGATATGTCCAAATTTAACCACTAAACCAGTGAAAAGAAAAGAAAATTGCTCTCCAAGCTGATATTTAGGATTAGGACAGAGTTGACAGGTTCATCAGAGAGTTTGGGGGGTGGGTATACAAATGCTTTCTTAAGAGATTTGTTTACCTTGCTCCAACTCTGTCCATGAGCCCATGGTGCAGAAAAGGTTATTTCCTGAAGAAATGAAGAGATCAGGAATTTTAAGCTCCCACCAAGCCTCTTAGGAGACAGAAAACCAAAAAAGAAAAATTTGAGAAAAAAAAAAAAAAAAAAAAAACCACAACTGAGAAGCAGAAATTCCATTCAATTTGGGAAGGATATTGAGAAGATTGAATGAAGATAGGAGTGGAGCAACTGTGAGCAACACTTTGATGAAAGAAGGATTTCACACGACACAGAACATATTCATTAGCTACATTCCAACAGCGATGATAATGTACTTACACAACCCGAGTCAAGTGGAAGTATTGTATTATTACAGGCGCCCACATACCACAAGTTTCCTGAACAGAACAGAAACAACATAACATCATCGCAGTCAGATCCTTGATTGTCATCCTCTCCAATTATCCTTGCGTTGCCTTATCTCCCTCATGGCTTCAATGGGGGACTTGCAACCAACCTTTGCCTGAAAAAGTTCGCAACAATCTACTTAAGAAAAGGTTGTATGCCACAAGAAATGTGCTTTGTTTTGATATGGTAGTAGGTTTTTTGGGGCATTCACTGATGATGGTATTTGGAGAAAACATAGTATAATGAAAACAAATAAGCATAAATTACGCAGTGCTATAATTCCAGTGCCATACTATGGGGCTATTTAGCTTATGAAGTTGCATATAGGTTTTTTTTCTGCGAGAGTGTTTGGTGCGACTTTTGTTTACAACTTAATTAAGCTAAAAAAAACTTATTATTGAGAAACAAGAGAGAAGCGTTTTTAGCTTCTAATTTAAGATTATTAACTACCAGCTTGTTAGAAAATGCACCAAACAGGGCCTATACAAGCGCCATAATGATCTCAGTAAACTATTTACCAACTCACGGGAGGTAACTATCATAAGAGAAAAAATAATACCTGGATCTCTGGCAGATCCACCCGCATGAATGGATTAGTTTCCAATTCTTCTTCAATGGTTGAGGGAACAGTGGGAAGGCCAGCCTGTCTCTGATGCTGAGCCCATGACAACTTTTGTGCTATCTTGGCATTTTCTGGTTCAACTGTCAGAGCAAACTGCAGATTCTTCACTGTATACTGAAGAGTCGTAAACCAAAAATATTAGTTTGTACTTGGGAACAAAAAAAAGACCTGTGCTAACAGCTACAAGAGAATCGTGCAACTAAGCTTGGCATTCGCTAATGCATATTGGAACCAGATCAGGACTCCCTTAGTAGGAATGTTGTGATGTTATGCAACATACTTGGAACTATCATATCAACTGGACAATGAAACTTCAAAATAAGAGCAATTGACCCATGGATTTCATGCTAAATGGGACAGATTGACTGAGTGGTAAAATACTCATGGCAGAACAAATCCAAAAAGAACATATTATTCTGCAACGAAAGAAGGTTCTGGCAATATATAAGGTTTAGGCAAAAAGATCTTATAGGTGCACATGATCCGTCTTGGTTGTGTTGTCTTCAAGATCATATCTATGGTTGAGGTTGCACTTTACGAAGCTGCTTGGTTAGTAGTAGAATGGATTGTTTAGATTCATCATGCTTCAAGAGTATGGAGGAGCCTCTCTAAGGTTGGAACAAATCAGAATGCATAAGATTACTAATTTAATTATATTAAAAAAAAAAAATGCATTTCCAAATGACATCGCAATTCAAATGCAGAATGTGTTGAGGTTTGTACACTCATTATTACCATTACAACTCTCTTGGGGCTCAAATTGAATGATAAGTTTATCCTGTTTTAGGCTTTTCCTAAACCGGCGATAATGTTTTAATTGATCGTAAGGCCCCCAAGACTTGAAGCACATAGAGCTACACTAAATAAATAGCATTTCTACATGACTAATCTTATAGGAGGAAGGACTGAGAGCTAGTTCACCAAAGGAATAATAAATCACAATGCAAAACACGTAACACGTCTCCACAAAAAGTTAGTTTGTTTTTTGAAGGAAAATAATTTTACCCATGCAACATATAAATTTATTTGTTATTAACACCATAACACGCTATAATGTGAAGATAGTCTGTGGAGGCATATAGAGCATATGACAGTAAATTAAGTTCTTTAGTGATGACTTTGAAGTAAATAAGAACTGCAATTATTTTATATAGGGTGGGTTAGACACCCTTGGATTGCTTGCTGTCACAGTGTCATACCACCAAAGCTATAATTCCATAATATCTTTAAAAGAATATAGATAAGCATTACCTCATGGCCACAATAAACTCGTGTTGGGTTTGGCAACGAACCCAATGTCACACAGAGAGATTGATACATTTGTTCTGCTGTGCCCTCGAAAAACTTACCACAACCAGCAACAAACTACACACAGGAATGAAAGGATCAATATCAATTGTTAAAGACCACACAATTTTCAGCTGAGAGATGCATTGATCACTGAAAGAGTTCAAGAACATATAAGCTACTTTTCACCCAAGAAAATGAAAACCAGCCCCGTCACCAACATAAACCTGCTAATGAATAGTGCAGCCAACGGTGTTTCAAACTTCAAACATTTTACAATATTCCTTTACAGCAAAAAGTAAGAACTGATCTCTACTTGAGCACTAGAAGACAAAATCATTACTCCATTCAAGAAATCTTGCTAAACTTAATTCAGTTAAATTCCACCCTCAATTGCCAAAAGTGTAGAAAGATTAGTTACTTACAGCTTCTCTATCCCCAACCGGTTATAAAATCCAACCTTGTATTTATATTCTATAAAATCTTGGTAAAGAAGGTCATCAATGTGCAAGTATGAGAAAGGTTATTAAATGAGAGCACCATCTTCACTCACCAGTGTGTCTCCAGTGAAAACAGCAGGGTTCTCTTCGTCTTTTCCAGTCAGATAGTAACTTATATGACCTTTGGTGTGGCTGATGAAAGTGGATCAAATTAACAAGTAAACATAAATGAGACAAAAGTTAACATACTAGTATTCAAATCAACCAAATAATCAAGCTACATGAGTATACTTTAAAGATTGACTTCTACAGAGTATAGACACAGAACCAAACACAGAACCGACAGGTGGAGCAACATGAGTGGAACCACCTCTTGAGTGGCAGGCCACACAATACACCATCATTTTTCTGAGGTCGTATCATTTTCCAGTGGTCGGTTATATGGTTGGTTCTATTGTTTAAGGATACTTCACCATGAAAGAAACTGCAATTCAATCACAACCATACTGGCAAAAATTCAAAGAAAATTGATTTTATACACTCGAAATTCAAATATGTAAAAACTAGGGTAGACGATAGACATAGTAATCAGTGATATATTACAAGGAACAGAGTAGAGTAATAACACATACGAAGGTGTATGAAGAGCCAATATCTGGATATCGGTCCCAAGAGACAACTTATCACCATTTTCCAGCTTATTAGTACTCCCCTTCACATTATCAAGTGAACCACCGTAAACCTTAATCCCGGGCACCAATTCCTTAATCTTCTCGTTTCCGCCTGCATGATCCCTATCATATATACAAGCATTCATAAGAATAGGTAAGCATTCAAGCCAAACAACAACTTTTTGGTCTGTTCACCATGCAGCACCAATTACTTGCCCAGTTGGGCTTGTGGGCCCCACCATAGGTCCCTTCCAATGATGCGAGTCATCATTTTGTAGGCCTCAATGTGTAAATCATCCATGAAAAAATTCATATTGATCTGATGATTGGAACTGCATGATTTCATCATATTTGTCTTTTAAAAAAGAGTAAATTACACTGATCTCATTGACATTTGGAGAACATACAATAAGTCCCATAGTTTTGGCATAATTACATGGTCCAACCTCCCTTTTATTAAGGCTAAATGGACAGAACTAATGCAGATGATGTGAAGAAACAAATATAAACAAGGTAAAAAATATACATTCAATGTACAATATATGACAATATTATTTCTCTATCCAAATGACTAACGAATTACTAATGAAAGGAGACTAAGCGTTATATGAATTAAAACCTTAGAGAAACCCAATGTAATTATGCCAAACTTGTATGGGCTTATTATGTATTTTAAACCAACGCAATTTATCCTTTAAGAGATGAACAACTATTTTTTAAGAAGCAGAGACTCTTCAAAAAAGGTAATGTGTCATATCTGACACCAACACTAGTCGGTCACTTCCCAGAACTTAGACACACATAAAATACATTATAAGTTTAAATAAAATAACTTGAAATCCAATGATAAAACAAAAATAATATAAATTTATAACTATTCTTTTTCTTTAAACTTAAAATCTTTGACTTAAATATTCATATATATGACATATAATACTTATTTATCCTCATATTATTATGATATATAATAAATATATAAAATTATATATTTTGCATGTGTCTCCACATGTCGCGTCCTACATAATTTGAAAATTTGTGTATTGACGTGTCTGTGTCATGTGATGTGCCTGTACTTCTTATACTATATTCAAAACAATACTTGTCATCCCACATGTGATAAAATTATTTGGTTATGATTATTTAATCAATCAATTTTTTTTTTTTTTAATTTTTTTATGTAAGATCTAATCATAGAGCCTACAAGATGAATAACTCTAATAATATCTGTGGTCAAACCCACGGGCTCAACTGAACAAGACCGGACCTCTCACCAACTAGAGTGAAGTCAAACCCTTATTTGCAGGGCTATTAAACAGACCAAGGTACTTGAGCTTTACTCGTATTCGACTCATTAAAAACTCATTGAGATCGACTCGTTATGTAAACAAGCCAAACTTGACCACAATTTTAAGCTCGTTAAGTTTTCAAATCAACCTTGAACAATCTATTACTATGCTCGAGAAGCACTTAAAAAAATCAAGCTGCCCAAGCTCGACTTGTATTCGGCTAGTTAAAAGCTCATTGGAGATCAGCACGTTATATAAACAATCCAAGTTTAAACATAATCTTACTTGGTAAGTTATCAAACGGAGTTTGAACAACCTACTACTTACAGTCCTACTTATTTGTTCAATAACAAGAAAGAATCATAGATAAGCCATCACTTAAACCAAAAGACCTAATATCAAATTGAAAGTCAACCTCTACCGTGTTGAATGAGAGTATAATTGGAAAGAGTTGATAAATTTGAAGAATGGAAAGCAGAACAGAACAGACCAGTGATGGTGAGCGGTGAGGACGAACTTTAGGTGAACGCAGTTCTCGTCGCACACACGAAGAACCTTTTCAGGTTCAACTGGATCCACAACTGCAGCTTCCTTGGTTGTTTCATCTATGATTCTGCAAGCAAACACAATTCACAGCATATGATTACTACATACATAAAACAATCATCCATGACACACAAACATACACATACACATACAATCGTTTAATCAAATTGAAAGCCCTAGTGAAGAATCAATTGAAAACAATCCGCAAAAACATAATACTCCTATATACATACAGAGAGAAAGAGAAATACGAGAAAATCGGATGGAATTGTACATGTAGGAGTAGTTGTCTTCCAAGCACGGAACGTGGATGATCTTCATCGTCGTCGTCGTCGCCGCCGCCGAATCGAATAACCAATTTCTGTTCTGTTTCGGTGCTGGGTTCAGTAGTATCGTATCCAACTAGATTTAAAAATACCAGATATTTTAAAAAATTTATCAAAAATTTTACGTAAGTGTGGCATATGACATTAATAAAAAATTTAATAAATTTTTAAATAATGATTCGGACCCTCTTCTTTTTCCACTCTCTTGACCCCTTTACACTTAATTGGTTATTTTTTTTATTTTTTTTATTCTCCTTCCCCTAATCACTACTCGCCACGTGCCAGTAAAGTCGTGGAATGGTGATTAGAAGGCCTCAATCATCACCTCCGATTTTTTTGAGGTTTGGACGTAGAGTGCCTTGTCAGCGTCCCCACCCACCACCACGTGGCAGATCGACACGGTCAATTGGATAATTTGGGAGAGGGTTTGGTCAAACTTCTTTCAGAGAACTTGAATTTTGACATTAAAGAAAAGAAGGGTTTGATTTTTCTGAAGCTGGAATCTCAATTTAATAGAATATTTGGATTTGATAGGTTGGTTTTGAAATTAATTTTAATTATTTGAATAGTTTATTTTTAAAAAATATTGATATAAAAAATTAAAATGATTAAATATTGATAGTTATATATTTGAATTATGAGTGATTCTACTTACACTATAAGTTTATTTCTTTATGCTCTTCGTATAAGATTTTTAATTTTTCTTTTATTTTAGTTTTACCCATGTATGAAATTATTTTTAAGAAAAAAAGATTAAAATTAAATATATTTTATTACCTCTTTACACCCATTGCTCTTCAATAGGGGTGTTCGCAGTTCGATTGCGGTTGGAAAACCTCTAATTCGCCATTCGTCTGTCGGATGGGTGGATTGAAAAAAATCAATCCGTATCCGTCCACCGAATTAGCAAATGCGGATTGAACGAATTGGCGGATTAACGGATGAATGCGAATCGGTTTGACAGTTTAAACTTTTATAAATTTTGAATATAATACAACAATTTGTCAACATTTTTTATTGGATAACAATCCAACTCAACATAATCAAAAGATTATCAAGTAAATTGTCAAATATCAATAATAAATACATATAAAAAATTATGCATTATCAAAACTATTTCATTACTTTTTTTTATTCAAAAAATATTTAATTTGATTTAAAAAAAAAATGACAAAATTAAGCCTTATATTTTTTCACACAAAAATACCAAATATCAATCCTTGCCATTTGATAAAAAGATTTCTAAATTGAAAATACAGCAGAATATCTAAACTATTTTTCAATTGAAAACATAAATATAATATCTAAACAAATTAAAAACTTAAAGTCTTACAAATTACTAGGGGTGCTTGTAGTTTGGCGGTTGAGTTGCGGCCAAAAGAACCTCAAATCCGCCATCCATCCAAAACTAAGCAGATTGGAAAATATCAATCTGCAATTGTTCGTTCGTCATCAGGCATCCATCCAAAATGCGATGGTTCAGTTTGGTTCGGTCGGTTTGGACGGATCAGAATATCCGCTTCTCACCTCTACTCTTCAATCCCTATTGCTCTTCTTTTCTTCTTAGTTTTTCTTCTTTGCTACATATTTCTTTTCAAAAAGTGAAAATTATAGTATTTTGATCATAGAAAAAAACAATTGATGAAGAAAAAGTGAGTTTTTTTTATTTGTTTAGTAGGTTTTTCATTTCATTTTTTGAAAGAGTTCTTCGATTTTTGTTCGATATATCAAAATTGAACAAAATAAAATAGTTCGGAATCATATTGCCGAACAAAAAATTTATGTTCGATAACCCATTGCCGAATAAAAGATACATTTTCGGTAACCCAAAGCCCAACGTTTTTAATTTGTTCGATTACGCATTACTGTGCATTTCCAGCTTTATTATTATTTTCATTTATATTTTTTTGTTTTTTTGTTTGGAATGATTATACTTCTACTTATTGCAGCAATGCAAGTATAATCATTCAGCCACTGAACATCTTAAAGGGCACTAATTTGCTGGTAGATTATCTGAGGAGGAAGCATCTTTATTACTTGACATGTCAAAGAGTATGCTAAAAGAGATATTGATTACATTGAAACGAAAACATGCCTTTAATACAACAATGATGAAGACAATCTAGAACGCACGTAAAGCCACAGGTGACTCGACAATTTTTTTTTAGTTTGTCAATATGACACTGGAATAATCTAATTTGTATAACAATATATCACCGAATAGGCAATTTATAAATGGACTCTAACTAATTTTTTGTTAAAGTAAAGTAAAATCATTCAATTGAACGGTAACAAATAGTTGGAAAAAAATTAGTTTGTCTGGTAACACAGCATTGAGTAATTCAAATTTTTAGCATTATATTACCAAAAGTTATCAGTGAAATGCGACAAAACTGAAACGGTTTTGAAGAGTTTTTAGTTTAGGATTAGTTTTGGTAGTATAATGGGTGTAATAAGAATCACAATTTTTGTTAGTAGGGTAATGAGATGGAAGGTGTAAATAGGTAAACTAGTGGTGTAAGTAGAATAACTTTTGAATCATATTTGTTTTAAAAAAATAGATGCCAAATATAATTTCAAAAAAAACTATCTATTTTTTATAATATAAATTTGATTCAATTATATAGCTATCGATGTTCGATCATCTTGACTTTTTGCATGAATATTCTACTCAACGAGTCTTAGAAAATGAACGATTTAGATAATTGAAATGGGACCAATGGTAGGCTCCATGGATCCCTCAAGTTCTCTCATATTGTGATCCCAATATGAGAGAAGTCCAATCAAAAAAAAAAAAAAAAAAAAAAAAATTAACTAAAAAAAAAAAAGACTCCCTATTTTAATAGATCGAGAGTTTAAATGGTGTATACCATATGCACTTTATAACTAAAGAAGAAAATAGTATAACTTCATATTTTCTGAGTCATAATTTTAAAAAAAAATAAAAATGTCATAACTAAACACAATATAAGACATAACTAAAGAACTCATGAGTCATAATTAAAATAATGTCATAAAAGAAAAAATATTAGTCATAACTAGAGAATAAAATAATATAATTAGGGATGCATATGATACACCTTTTTCAAGAGTGTGTATGCTAGAATTTCCCATATACGCTATAAACAAACTATTGTAAATTATCAATATACCGTCTGATGCTTTCTTAAAACACGAATCAACTGTTGTAATTTTAAAAATTACATTCCACCTTTTGAAATTTTAATTTCATAATAAATGGTTCATTTTATTAATAAAATATCAAATCAATTAACAATTTTTAATGATGTCAAAAATATATTTTAATTAATAATTGAGATAATTTTATTATTGTATAGAAGAGTAGTTATAAATTTTATTTTTTTAATTAATTCTATTAAATAATTTTTTTCGATAATAGGATATTTGTAATTTTTCAAACTCCAAAGGACAATCCATATTTTAAACAAATTTTAAAGATGTATTTGTAATTTACCCTAAAAATTATTGTTTTATTTTTGTTATTATGAGCCATTGTTATGATATGGCAAACAAATTAAATTAAAATTGGTTGCCCTAATGGTTGTTGGTTACATAGCCAATATTTAGGCCTCGTTTGGGAACAGGCTAATTTAGTAACTTTTTGGCTAATTGGCTAAAAAGGTAGGTAAAAAAAACTTGTATGTTTGGGATGACTTTTTGACTAATTACGAAAAACTGTGCAAAAAGTAGAGAGAAACCGTAATTGTTGACTTTTTGGTATGACTAATTGGCTAATTGGCTAATTTAATAACTTTTTGGCTTTTTGACTAAAACAGAGCCTTCCCAAACGAGGCCTTAGAAGGCCAAACATTTCAAATTTTGGGCTATTGAAGGTTTGTCTGATCGTTAACTTTAGAATCTCAGAACTTAGTCAAGGTGTGCATAATCTGACTCGAACACTTGGTTATCAAATAATAATAATAAAAAAAAATAGCCAATATTTAAGTGTGTAGTTCGAACTATGTAAGATCTCACTAATAAATGTATAATATTTCTTTACAAACACAATCATATATATTATCTTAAATTTAATTTTCGTGATAAGTAATATTATTCAAAATTTATATAACTAATATTTATGTTACAACTGACAATCACTCAAATTCAAATTACTGTTTCCCAAAGGAAAATGTTTAATCTACACAAAAGACTCCTTTCGACTCCGCCTGAATCATGTGGCACCCTTTGAACCGAAATCAGATCCACGCTTCTTTCTTTGTCTCAAACTTTCCATCCCTCTCACATCTTTCTTTCTCTCAATGACTGAGAGAACTCTTAAACACTTTTCTCTCCTCTCTTTGTCTCTCTCTCCTCTCACGTCCTCTCTCCTATTCACAATCTCTCTGGCCACCAATACAATTGCCTTCGGCAATGCTAAACGCCATTGGCAATCAAAGTTGTTAAAATCGGGATCCCATGTAGGATCGTTGGGAGAGACTAATGGATTGGATTGTAAAATCAGATCGAGAATCATAAGATCCTACTTTTAATGCAAAATAAAATGAAAAATTGATACATTTGATATAATATATATTTTATGTTAGTATAAATTAGAAAAAACATTTGAAAAGTGAGTTTATAGTCAATTTTTTATATATAGATATACACATATATAAGAAATAATTAATAACAAAAAAAATTGATAGGATCGAAATCGAAGTACAATCGCGATCGTATGCAATTCTACATCATTTTATGACTAGAATCGTAGTGACTTTAAGATTCTACTAAATTTAAGATCCTAGTGTAATCCAAATCATTTAGCCCAACTGAGATCGTAAAATCTTAAGATTCTATGATCCGGATTGAGATTTTGATAACCATGGTAGCAATTATTCTCCTCAACGCCCTTATTCCAATGGCAATGTCTCCTTGTCATCCCTCGCTACCGTCTCCTCTCTCCTCCTTGTTGCCTTTTGTATTTCACCATTGACCCAACCATGCCATCACCTTGTTCGCCTATTGCCTCTCACCGTCACCCATTGCTCAACGTTGCACACTCCAACCTTCGCCCACCCAAATCGCGAACTAGATCTAGAGATTTCCATATATGGAAAACAACCCACTACCTTTGTAATTGAACAAGGGAA